CCCCGTGTCTGTGCACCTGACAGGGAGTCGGGGCTTTCTCCCTCCTTCCAGTACCTGGGGAAGCCCGGATTGGCCTTCGCACCCAAACGAAACAAGTGCATTGTGTTTGGGGACACACGGCAGTTAGGGAAGCCTCTGCCTGTCTGGACCGTGAGTCCCAAACCTGGGGCTGGCATGGCAGTACAGCAAGTTAGACTGCTGCCTGCTTGCTACGCCAGCGTCTCCTAACAGCACCATTGCAAGTCGCGGCTGCTCTGCCTCCAATCCAGCTCGCTACTAATGCACCTGGGACAACAGCAGGCGATGAAACAAAACAAAAAACAAACAAACAAACAAAAACAGCAGGCGATGGCTGAGGAGCTTGGGCCCAGCCCCGCCACTGCAGCCATCTGGGGAGTGAGCCAGTGGATGGAAGGTCTCTGTCTCTTTTTACCTCTTTCAAACAAATAAATATTTTCTAAAAACAGCTACTATTGCTTCCCGAGCACTTCCCGTTAGCCAGGTGTTGTGTCCCAGGAACCCCTTCAGGCAAAATTTTTCCTTTTGGGTTTTCGTATCCACATTTGTAAAATGAGGCTGGGCTGGCATGGTGGCACAGTGGGTTAAGTCACTGCCTGGGATGCCGGACACCAGCTCCCTGCTGACACACCTAGGAAAGCAATGGGAGATGGCCCACGTGAGAAACCCACATGCACTTCCAGGCTCCTGGCTTCGCATGGCTGAGTCCAGGCTGCTGTGGCCACTTGAGGAGCAAACCAGGGGATGGAAGAGCTCTCTCTCTCTCTCTCTCGCTCTCTCTCTGTAGCTCTGCCTTTTAAACCGAGCAATCTGGGGCTGGTATTGTGGTGTAACGGGTTAAGCTGCTGCCTGCAGCACCAGCATCCCGTATGGGCACTGGTTTGAGTCCCGGCTGCTCCACTCCTGATCCAGCTCCCTGCTTACGCAAGGGGAGAACAGCGGACGGCCCAAGTCCTTGGGCCCCTGCACCCACGTGGGAGACCCGCAAGAAGCTCCTGGCTCCTGGCTTCAGATCTGCCCAGTCCTGGCTGTTGCGACCATTTGGGAAGTGATCCAGTGGATGGGATTTTTCTCTCTGCAACTCTGTATTTCAAATAAATAAGTCTTAAAATAGATCGTCTATTTCCTTGCCAGTCATAGGAGATCCCCACTGCTCACAGGTGACCCACAACTCAACTCTGCAACACAGCGAATGCAGAGTGAGACACTCAGAGGGTCTGAGTGAGAGGCAGGTGTCCCAGGTGCCTCAGGGCCGGAGCGACCTCAGCAGCAGCACTGGGCGGGTGGGGTGGGGAGCTGACCTGGCAGAGCAGGTGAGACCTGGATGGGTGGGGCAGAGCGTGGCGTTCCTGGGAAGAGGCGTGGCTGGGCCCGGCCACGGGAGGCCTGGTGAGCCTGGGTAGGGGCTTCCTCAGTTTGAGTGCTGGGATGTGAGCAACGAAGCTGCAAGATCTGAATCATGAAATCCACTTAAAGAAAACCGCAGACGTAAAAGAACAGTTGGGCACTTCGGGCCCGTCATCAGATTAAGGAATAGAACATGGCCTCTTTTATTTTATTTTTTTTAAGATTTTATTTATTTGAAAGTCAGAGTTATGGGGGCGGGGAGTTGTCTTCCATCTGCTGGTTCACTCCTCAACTGGCCGCAACAGCCGGAGCAGAGCCAATCCGAAGCCAGGAGCCAGGAGCTTCTTCAGGTCTCCCATGGGGTGCAGGGCTCAAGCACCTGGGCCATCCTCCACTGCCTTCCTGGGCCACAGCAGAGAGCTGGACTGGAAGTAGGGCAGCCAGGACTCACGGGCGCCCATCTGGGATGCCGGTCCTGGAGGCCTCTGTCTTGTGAGTCCTCTGTGCGACCTGCCCTGGCTGTGGTTGCCTCTGTAGCTAATCACTAAGCCCAATTTCTCTTTTTTCATTGGAGTGACAAAGACACAGAACTGCTGTTTCACTCCCCAAATGCCTGCATCGCCTGGGGCTGGGCCAGGCTGAAGCCAGCACAGAACTCCACCTGGGTCTCCCGCTTTGGTGGCAGGGCCCCAACCCCTCCAGCCATCGCCCGCTGCCTCCTAGGGTGTACATGAGCAGGAAGCTGGCCTGGAAGCAGAGGAGCCAGGACAGGGGATGCGGGTGCCCCCCATGGCCACCGAACCCCCTGCAAACACCCAGGCCGGCTGTAGAAGCGCACGGGTTCCGTGCTGCTGGGTCCCGTCAAACCATTTCCCGAAGACCTTGTATCAGCTTACACCCCGACTGCAGATGGCCACAGTTCCTCCTCATCTCGGCCAACCCTCCACCTTTAAAACTGTTCTTATCTGGTGGGCAGTGAAAAAGAATCTTATTTTAGCTTTAATCTGCATTTTCTTGATTGTTGATGCAGCTGAAGTGTATGCTTATGGTCCCCTTAAGTCTCTTCCTGGAAGCCACCCTAAGGAGTGCGTTAAATCACTCCCGTTGCCTTGCTGGCGTTAGACACCACATGGACACTTTCTCCCTACCAGGGTTGAAATGATGCACGCAAATATGTACTGCACCTCCAAGCATCTCCCAGACACTGCTCTCTTCTTAACATTTATTTTATTGGGGGCTGCCACCTGCGTGCCGGCATCCCATATGGGCGCCAGTTTGAGTCCCGGCTGCTCCTCTTCCGGTCCAGCTCTCTGCTGTGGCCCAGGAAGGCAGTGGAGGATGGCCCAAGTGCTTGGGCCCCTGCACCCACGTGGGAGACCCGGAAGAAGCTCCTGGCTTCCGATTGGCACAGCTCTGACCATTGCAGCCACTGGGGAGTGAACCAGCGGATGGAAGACTTCTCTCTCTGCTTCTACCTCTCTGTAACTCTTTCAAATAAATAAATAAATCTAGGGGAAAAAAGATCTATTTTATTTGAATGACAGAGAGGGAGGGAGGGAGGGAGGGAGGGGGAGAGAGAGAGAGAGAGAGAGAGAGGGAGACAGAGTGTCCAACTGCTGGTTCACTTCCCAAATGGTTGCAAAGGCCAGTGCTGGCCTGAAGCCAGGTGCCAGGCACTCCACTGTCTCCCACATGGGTGGCAGGGGCCCAAGCACTTGGTGCATCACCCATCCTTTCCAGGCTGTTAGCAGGGAGCCCGATCTGAAGGGAGCAGCCAGCACACGAACCGGAGCTCCAATATGGGATGGCGGTGTCGCAGGTCGTGGCGCAGTCAGCTGAGCGAGGTCACCAGCCTGCCCAGGTCTTACTCTCTGTACACCCTACACACAGGAAGAACCCAGCCCACAGTTTCCTAACGGACACTACAGGCTGGACGGACCTGCTTCAGTCTTCCAGCTGCTGTCTAATACTTCACAGATCGAGTGAATCAGTTTCGCCAGTCCTCCTTGCTCTGTAAACTAAGTCACGCCGGGGCCGGGGGAGCAGGTAAAGTCACCGCCTGCGGCGCCAGCAGCCCACGTGGGTGCCAGTTCGAGTCCCGGCTGCTCCTCTTCCGACCCGGCTCTCTGCTGTGGCCTGGGAAAGCAGAAGACGGCCCAAGTGCTTGACCCACGTGGGAGACCCGGAAGACGCTCCTGGCTCCCGGCTTTAGGTCGGCTCAGCTCCGGCCATTTGGGGAGTGAACCACCTGTTTGGAAAATCTCTCTCTCCTCTGTAACTCTGCCTCTCAAATAAATAAAATCTTTAAAAAAAAGCCCAGGCTTCTCCTTTGGGACACACGTTATTTCCCAGACTTCAACGTTTCCTTCACGAAGGAGCCCACAAAGCCTGGGTTGCTCAGCGGCCAGGCACCCTCTGGTGATTTCCCTAAGAGAGTGGCCACGCAGGTAGGAAGGGAGGCGACTCTCACGCTGGTCTCGCACACAGCAGCCGACGTGCCCGCACAGGAGGGGACCCTCTGGGCCAAGCCCGGAGAGGCTGGCTGTGCCTGCCCGGGCGCGCTGAGACCTGGGGGAGCCTCCCAGACCCGGGGGAGGAGCGGCCGCGTTAACGCCTCGCCTTGCTGGCCTCTCAGCGCTGGGCTGGCGCTCAGCGGCCGCGGTCACACCGCTCCGGCGACGCCGGTCTCTCCCGGACACCCACAGCCTGGTCTCAGAGCCCGAGCTGACAAGGACGGCACACGTCCCCGGACACCTGCAGGGGCCTGGTGCGTCTCGGGTAAGAGCCAAGGCCTCCAGCGTGTCCATCCTGCCTTCCCCACAGGACTGCGGGTGGATCGGCGCGCTCGCCTCGGCGGGCCCTGACCACTCGCTCGCCTCGGCGGGAGCCCACACTGCTCCCCCACGGCCCGCGGCCCTCGCGGCCGCCACTGCCAAGTCCAGGCAGGCCCGGGGGCGCCCTCAGGCCGCGGCGGGCGGCGAGGCAGCCGCTGCAGGGCAGGTGCGCCCCGGCGTCCCGACGCAGGGCCGAGAACGGGGAGAACTTCCGCCCGGAAGCAGCGCCACGCTCGGCTTCCGGTTCCTCTCGCCCCGGTAGCCTGGGGCCTTTTATCCCAGTTGGCAGCGGCCCTCAGCCCGAGGCTACCCCACCCAGCCGCTCCCCGGGACCTCCACACCCTGCGCAGCCGTTTGCACGTCCCGCGGGGCGACGGCTACGCCATGACGTCACCGCGAGCCGGGGGCCGGGCCGGCGGCGCCGAGGGCCTGGAGGCGGGACTAACTTAGACTGACGTCCACACCCGCCCGTTGCCTTCCTGAGTCCTTCTCAAACCGACCAATAAAAGCGACGACGGCGCCTGCGACGTGCCCCAGCCGCTCCAGGTGGCCCCGCCCCCTCCACTTGGCCACGCTCTGGCCGCCATGCGTAGTGTGGCTACGGCATCTGGGGCGCTCTAGGCTCCTACGCGGCTTTCCGGTGCCCTTCCTGGACTCCTTCCCAAGTTCTGCCTCCCTTCCACCGTCACTCTCGACGTTCCCGGGCTCCTCCCTCGCTCGTTGCGAGTCCGGCCACATTCGAGATGGCGGCCGGGGGCGGGGCCGGGCCGGGGCGGGGCCGGCGCGGTGACGTCAGCGCGCTGCGTGTCGGCAGGTGGAGGGAGAAGGGAAAGTTTGGCCCGCGCGTGGGGCTCGGGCGGAGGGCGGGACGGAGGGGCTGGGCCCGGACGGATCCGCTGTGGCCGCGGCTGCGGAGGCCGAGGCCGGACACGGAGGCGCCGTCCGACCCGGGGCCGGTCCCGCAGCGGCGGGTGGGGGCGGGGCGGCGCGCGGCCCGGAGCCGGCGGAGGTCAGCGAGTTTGAGGGAGGCCCGCGGCCCGCTGCCGCCGTCATGTCCGAGGAGGCGAGCGCCCTGCCCTGGTCCATCAACAGGGACGACTACGAGCTCCAGGAGGTGATCGGTGAGAGCGGGGACGGCGGGCGCGCGGCGGCGCGTGCTGGGCGGGGCCGGGGCGGGCCGGCCTGTGCGCGGCTGCGTGCGGGACGGAGTGCGGGAGCCGGGCTGTCCGGGGCGTCCTCGCACGGGGAGGTCGTGCGTGGGGCAGCGCGGGGACCCACGTGCGGTTCCGGGCAGCTGCTGGGCGGGGCCGGGGCGGGCCGGCCTGTCCGCGGCTGCGTGCGGGACGGAGTGCGGGAGCCGGGGCGTCCTCGCACGGGGAGGTCGTGCGTGGGGCAGCGCGGGGACCCACGTGCGGCGGTTCCGGGCAGCTGCTGGGCGGCGCCGGGGCGGGCCGGCCTGTCCGCGGCTGCGTGCGGGACGGAGTGCGGGAGCCGGGGCGTCCTCGCACGGGGAGGTCGTGCGTGGGGCAGCGCGGGGGACCCACGTGCGGCGGTTCCGGGCAGCTGCTGGGCGGCGCCGGGGCGGGCCGGCCTGTCCGCGGCTGCGTGCGGGACGGAGTGCGGGAGCCGGGCTGTCCGGGGAGGTCGTGCGTGGGGCAGCGGGGGGACCCACGTGCGGTTCCGGGCAGCTGCTGGGCGGGGCCGGGGCGGGCCGGCCTGTCCGCGGCTGCGTGCGGGACGGAGTGCGGGAGAGGGGCGTCCTCGCCCGGGGAGGTCGTGCGTGGGGCAGCGCGGGGACCCACGTGCGGTTCCGGGCAGTTGCTGGGCGGGGCCGCGGCGCCGGGGCGGGCCGCGACCTGATCCCGCAGCCCTGGCAGTCCGACGGGGTCCGGGCACCCGGCGGTGGAGACCCCGGAGGGGACGCGGCGGCCAGGACGTGGGGTGCAGAGGGCGGCCAGAGCCCCGCGAAGCCAGAGCGGGTGGGTGCGCTTAGCCAGACCCGGGCTCCGCCGTCCGACCCGAGCTGACCGCTGCGTGTTGCCAGCCTCCTGCCTTGGAATAAGTTTTTTCAAAAAGATTTCTGTATTTACTTGAAAGACAGAGTGACGAGGTCTCCCATCCGCTGGTTCGCTCCCCACTTGCCGCAACAGCCAGGGCCGCACCGCCGAAAACGGGAGCCAGGACTCCCTCCAGGTCTCCCGCGGGGGCCGCAGCGGCCTGCACCTGCCGTCTGACACAGGGCGGGGAGCTGGTCAGAGCGGGGCCGTGGGGCCCTAGCATCAGCCAGGCAGCAGAGGACCGGACCTCGCGCTCTCGGGTGTCCTGCCCTGCCCTGTTCTCTGCCCGTTCCCGTGGGAGGAGGCGCCGTGTCCTGAGCCGCTGCGTGGCCGGGTGCGCCCTGCGTGCCGCTCTGGCGTGCGCTCTGCACTGCGTCTGCGTCCTCGGCTCCCCTCGAGGGCGAGAAGTCGGGAGGGGTCCCTGGCATGTCGTGGGGACTTGGCTCCGTGTGGGGCCCCTCTCTGGCGTGAGCCATTCTTGACGCTCTCACCGCAGCGTGGCCCGAGTTTCGGAGTGGCAGGCGCTGGAGACGGGTGCCTTGCTCGGTGGCGTCTGTGGCAGGTGTCTGGCGGGCAGGGACCTTCTCCCCGGAAGAGGGCTCGTTGCCATCACACTCACCACGTGCTCAGAGTTCATAAAGATGAGCAACCCAACGTGATTCACGGCTTTTTTTTTTTTTTTTTACAATCTTTTTTTCCTTTCAAGTTTTTATTTATTTGAAAGAGTTACAGAGAGTGAGAGAGAGAGGGAGAGGTCTCCCATCCACGGGTTCATTGCCCAGACAGCTACAATGGCCTGGTCTTGGCCAGGGTAAAGCCAAGAACCTGCAACTCCATCCAGGTCTCCCACGTGGGGGGCAGGGGTCCCAGGACTTGGGCCATCCTCTGCTGCTTTTCCAGGCGCGTTAGCAGGGAGCTGGATCGGAAGTGGAGCTGCTTGCACTTGAATCAGAGTTCAGATGGGATGCAGTTGGTGGCTTAACCCACTGCCCCACAATGCTGGCCCCTACAATCAATTCCTTTTTTTTTTTTTTTTTCCCATCTGCTGGTTCATTCCCCAAATGGCTGCAACAGCTGGAGCCGTGCCGATCTGAAGCCAGGAGCCTGGAGATTCCTCTGGATTTCCCATGTGGGTGCAGGGGCCCAAGCACTTGGGCCATCCTCCACCGCTTTCCCAGGCCATAGCAGAGAGCTGGATCAGAAGTGGAGCAGCCAGGACTTGAACTGGCGACCACATGGGATGCCAGCACTGCAGGCTACAGCTTTAGCTTCTATACCATGGTACCGACCCCAGTTTCTTTCTTTCTTTTTTTTTAAAGTTTACCGGGGTGGCAAGCGCCGCAGCTCACTTGGCTAATCCTCCGCCTAGCGGCGCCGGCACACCGGGTTCTAGTCCCAGTTGGGGCGCCGGATTCTGTCCCGGTTGCCCCTCTTCCAGGCCAGCTCTCTGCTCTGGCCCGGGAGGGCAGTGGAGGATGGCTCAGGTGCTTGGGCCCTGCACCCCATGGGAGACCAGGAGAAGCACCTATCTCCTGGCTTTGGATCGGCGCAGCGCCGGCTGTGGCAGCCATTTGGGGGGTGAACCAACAGGAGGAAGACCTTTTTCTCTGTCTCTCACTAGCTCTGCCTGTCCAAAAAAAAAAAAAAAAAAAGTGTACCGGGGCTGGTGCTGTGCTGTAGTGGCTGAAACTGCTAGCTGCACGGCCAGCATCCTGCTCGTGCACCGGTTCTAGTCCCAGCTGCTCTGCTTCTGCTCCAGCTCCCTGCTGTGGCCTGGGAATGTAGCGGAAGACGGCCCACGTGCCTGGGCCCTGCACCCATGCGGGAGACCTGGAGGAAGCTCCTGGCTCCTGGCTTCCGTCTGGCCCAGCCCTGGCTGTCCCGGCCATGTGGGGAGTGAACTTGCAGATGCAAGAGGTTTTTCTCTATGTCTCTTTCTTTCTGTAACTCTGACTTTCTGATACATAAAGTAGAAAATAAAAAGCTTGTTCACTTTTATTTCTTTGAAAGAGTGAAAGAGATCTTCCATCCACTGGGTCACTCTCTGAGTGTCTGCTGCAGGCAGAGCTGGGCCGAGCCGAAGCCAGGGACCTAGAGCTCCATGCTCGTCGCCCACGTGGGTGGCAGGGACTCAGGTGTCCGAGCCGTCGCAGCCGCTGCCCCTCAGGGTGAGTGTTAGCAGGAAGCAGGCGGAAGCACCTCAGGAGGGGATGTGGTGTCCCAAGCGGTGGCTTAGCCCACTTCACCACAGCACCCTCCCTAGCCACCTTATTTTCTTATTTTATTTCTTTTTTTTTTTTCTTTTTTTGACAGGCAGAGTGGACAGTGAGAGAGAAAGAGACAGAGAGAAAGGTCTTCCTTTGCCGTTGGTTCACCCTCCAATGGCCGCCACGGCCGGCACACTGGGGCCGGCGCACCGTGCTGATCCGATGGCAGGAGCCAGGTGCTTCTCCTGGTCTCCCATGGGGTGCAGGGCCCAAGGACTTGGGCCATCCTCCACTGCACTCCCTGGCCACAGCAGAGAGCTGGCCTGGAAGAGGGGCAACCGGGACAGAATCCGGCGCCCTGACCGGGACTAGAACCCGGTGTGCCGGCGCCGCAGGGGGAGGATTAGCCTAGTGAGCCACGGTGCCGGCCCTTATTTTATTTCACTTTTTTAGTTTTAATTAATTAGTTTGAGTGGCAGAGTTGCAGAGAGAGGGAAGGAGAGTCAGATGCTCCATCTGTTGGCCCACTTCCCAAATGACTGCGATGGCCGGGGCTGGGCCAGATTGAAGCCAGGAGCCTGGAACTTCTTCCAGGCCTCCCACCTGGGTACAGGTTCCAAGGCCCTTGGGTGGTCTTCTGCTGGTTTCCCAGGTGCATAATCAGGGAGCTGGATGGGAAGTGGAGCAGCTGGGACTCAAAGTAGTGGCTGTAGGCAGATGGTGGCTCAACTCACTGAACCGCAGCACTGGCCCCACTTTATTTTTGTTTTTTTTTTTTTTTTAAAGATTTATTTATTTATTTGAAATCCAGAGTTACACAGAGAAGGAGAGGCAGAGAGAGAGAGAGAGGGAGAGAGAGGGAGGTCTTCCACCCATTGGTTCACCCTCCAATTGGCCGCAGCGTCGGGAGCTGTGCTGATTCGAAGCCAGGAGCCTGGAGCTTCCTCTGGATCTCCCACATGGGTGCAGGGGCCCAAGCACTTGGGTCATCTTCCATTGCTTTCCCAGGCCATAGCAGAGAGCTGGATTGGAAGTGGAAAGGCTGGGACTCGAACTGGTGCCCATATGCGATGCTGGCACTGAAGGCAGCGGCTTTACCCACTATGCCACAGCACCAGCTCCCCACCTTATTTTTTAAAACCAGGTTACTGGGGCTGGCACTGTGGCTTAGCAGGTAAAACTGCTGCTTGCAGTGCTGGCATCCCATAATGGAGCCAGGCGGGCCCAGCTCTCTGCTGTGGCCTGGGAAAGCAGTAGAAGATGGCCCAAGTCCTTGGGTCCCTGAACCTGCATGGAAGACCCGGAAGAAGCTCCTGGCTCCTGGCTTCGGATCGGCGGAGCTCCAGCTGTTGTGGCCAACTGGGGAGAGAACCAGCGGATGGAAGACCTCTCTCTCTTTCTCTCTCTCTCCCCCCGCCTCTCTCTCTGCCTCTCCTTCTCTCTCTGTGTAACTCTGACTTTCAAATAAATAAACCTTTAAAAAAAATTCACTGAGAAAGAATTTAACACCATAAAAGTCACCCATTTTGAGCGTAGCATTTCGTAAGTTTGCCGTGGTGTAAGCCATCACTCTGGGGGTCCCTCCTGCTTGTTTGCCCACCCTCAGCCTTGACAGCCGTCAGTCGCTCTCTGTGTAGTTTGTCTCTCACGTAAATGGGATCATGTGACTTGGTCTTTGTGTTGAACGTCTTTCACTTAGCGTAATTCACTTTTCGGAGCTCTCTTGTTGGCATACTTGATAAGCCTTCCAGTCCACCTGATTAAATACATATCAGCAACGTTTAGTGATTCATAAAGTTGTCCATCATTACAGCGATCCAGTTTTAGAACATTTCCGTCATTCCAGAAAGATGCCTCATGTCCATTTGCAGTCACTCCCTGTTCCCGCCCCCAGCCCTGGGCAGCCACACCTCTGCCCCGCGTCCCTGGACTTGCCTTTCTTGCATTTCATACAGATCAGGTAACCGTGTACCATGGGCTCCTTGGCACTGGGCTTCTGCTGCCTTGCGCAGTGTGTCGGGTGCATCCTGTTGCAGCTGTGGCAGTGGGTGGTTCCTCTTGACTGGATCCCAGCTGTGGCAGCGCGTGGTTGACTGGATCCCAGCTGTGGCAGTGGGTGGTTCCTCTTGACTGGATCCCAGCCGTGGCAGCGCGTGGTTGACTGGATCCCAGCTGTGGCAGCGCGTGGTTGACTGGATCCCAGCCGTGGCAGCGGGTGGTTCCTCTTGACTGGATCCCAGCTGTGGCAGCGCGTGGTTGACTGGATCCCAGCTGTGGCAGTGGGTGGTTCCTCTTGACTGGATCCCAGCTGTGGCAGCGCGTGGTTGACTGGATCCCAGCTGTGGCAGTGTGTGGTTCCTCTTGACTGGATCCCAGCTGTGGCAGCGTGTGGTTCCTCTTGACCGGATCCCAGCTGGTGCGTGCTGCGTTGCTTCTGCTTTTGGCCGTCTGGAATGAAGCTGCTAGGAGCATTTGCACCAGTCGGTGTGGACGTGTGCACCCGGGGTGGAATTCCCGAGTTGAGTGGCAAATATAACTGGAAAGGCAGAGCGAGAGAGACAGACACGGGGAGGGTAAGAGAGCCTCGTGTCCACTGGTTCACCCCCAAAGTCTGCAGCAGCCAGGGCTGGGCCGGGTGGGAGCCGGCAGCCTGGAACTGAGAACTGGGCTCTGGGTGTCCCGTATGAGCGCCAGATGCCAGCCTCTAACTTCTGAAGAGGCTGCCCGGCGTTCACAGGAGCGGCGCGTTCGTCCCCAGCAGCAGCGCGGGTTTGGTCGACGTTTGTCGTCTCTGATGGGGGTTGGGCTGGTGGCTTGCGTGTGGTTCAGATGTGCCCTGCGAGTAGGGAAGGCGTGTGGTTCAGGTGTGCCCTGCGAGTAGGGAAGGCGTGTGGTTCAGGTGTGCCCTGCGAGTAGGGAAGGCGTGTGGTTCAGATGTGCCCTGCGAGTAGGGAAGGCGTGCGTCCTTTGTGCCCTGCGAGTAGGGAAGGCGTGTGGTTCAGGTGTGCCCTGCGAGTAGGGAAGGCGTGTGGTTCAGATGTGCCCTGCGAGTAGGGAAGGCGTGTGGTTCAGGTGTGCCCTGCGAGTAGGGAAGGCGTGTGGTTCAGGTGTGCCCTGCGAGTAGGGGAGGCGTGTGGTTCAGGTGTGCCCTGCGAGTAGGGGAGGCGTGTGGTTCAGGTGTGCCCTGCGAGTAGGGAAGGCGTGTGGTTCAGGTGTGCCCTGCGAGTAGGGAAGGGCTTGTGGTTCAGGTGTGCCCTGCGAGTAGGGAAGGCGTGTGGTTCAGGTGTGCCCTGCGAGTAGGGAAGGCGTGTGGTTCAGGTGTGCCCTGTGAGTAGGGAAGGCGTGTGGTTCAGACGTGCCCTGCGAGTAGGGGAGGCGTGTGGTTCAGGTGTGCCCTGCGAGTAGGGGAGGCGTGTGGTTCAGGTGTGCCCTGCGAGTAGGGAAGGCGTGTGGTTCGGGTGTGCCCTGCGAGTAGGGAAGGCGTGTGGTTCAGGTGTGCCCTGCGAGTAGGGAAGGCGTGTGGTTCGGGTGTGCCCCGCGAGTAGGGGAGGCGTGTGGTTCAGGTGTGCCCTGCGAGTAGGGAAGGCGTGTGGTTCGGGTGTGCCCTGCGAGTAGGGGAGGCGTGTGGTTCAGACGTGCCCTGCGAGTAGGGGAGGCGTGTGGTTCAGGTGTGCCCTGCGAGTAGGGGAGGCGTGTGGTTCAGGTGTGCCCCGCGAGTAGGGGAGGCGTGTGGTTCAGGTGTGCCCCGCGAGTAGGGGAGGCGTGTGGTTCAGGTGTGCCCCGCGAGTAGGGGAGGCGTGTGGTTCGGGTGTGCCCCGCGAGTAGGGAAGGCGTGTGGTTCGGGTGTGCCCTGCGAGTAGGGAAGGCGTGTGGTTCGGGTGTGCCCTGCGAGTAGGGAAGGCGTGTGGTTCAGGTGTGCCCTGCGAGTAGGGGAGGCGTGTGGTTCAGGTGTGCCCCGCGAGTAGGGAAGGCGTGTGGTTCAGGTGTGCCCCGCGAGTAGGGAAGGCGTGTGGTTCAGGTGTGCCCTGCGAGTAGGGGAGGCGTGTGGTTCAGATGTGCCCTGCGAGTAGGGAAGGCGTGCGTCCTTTGTGCCTGTGCCTGTGCCTCGCGCGCCTTCTGGAAGAGCAGCCGTCAGCTCCGGCGCGCGCCTTCGCGCTGCTCACGGAGAGGGAGACGGGAGAGCAGGCCTGCCCTTTCTGGATGTGAGTCCTTCGTCTAGGAGTTTCAGGTTAAAATATTTTCTTTTTTCTTTTTTTTTAAGATTTTTATTTTATTTTATTTATTTATTATTATTATTTTTTTTTTTTTTTGACAGGCAGAGTGGACAGTGAGAGAGAGAGAGACAGAGAGAAAGGTCTTCCTTTGCCGTTGGTTCACCCTCCAATGGCCGGCGTGCTGCGGCTGGCGCACCGCGCTGATCCGATGGCAGGAGCCAGGAGCCAGGTGCTTCTCCTGGTCTCCCATGGGGTGCAGGGCCCAAGCACCTGGGCCATCCTCCACTGCACTCCCTGGCCACAGCAGAGAGCTGGCCTGGAAGAGGGGCAACCGGGACAGAATCCGGCGCCCCGACCGGGACTAGAACCCGGTGTGCTGGCGCCGCAAGGCGGAGGATTAGCCTAGTGAGCCGCGGCGCCGGCAAAATATTTTCTTGAGATCTGTCGTGTGTCCTTACTTTTGTAATGTGTCTTTCAGAACACGAGTCTTGGATTTTGCTGAGGTTTGTCAGTTTTTTCTCTTCTATTGATCTTGCTTTTGGTGTTGGTAAGGAATCCTTACTAACCCTGTGTCTGAGCTTTTTCCAGTGTTTTCCCGTAAGTGCTGTGGTGCGAGCCGTGGGTGCATCTGTGAGCTCGTGCCTGTATGTGGCGTGGGGTGGGGGGGCTGCACCGGCGGTCCTGTGCTCCAGTCCAGCGCGCTTGCTCCCGCGGTTTGCAATGAACTGAATGGTGGGCTCATACCCTCCAGGGTGAGGGAATTATTTTCACAGTGAAGAACCATAGTAGGTGTCGTCTGTCTGCACTGTTCCCCACCCCGTCTCTCATTCCGTACTCCCTCTCCTTGTCACAGCCTACTACAGGCCGCAAGGCTCAGCCAGCGCCTCTGCTTCCGTACCCGAGTGTTGGACACAGGACTCTGTGATAAGCTGCAGTCCTCACGTTCAGTGCTGAGATTTCTTCAGATTACACTCAGGAACAATGACTGAAGGCTAAGGAGGGGATTCGAGAGATGACTTAAATTTCCCTCCTTTTTTTATTTTCAAATATTTGATTTATTTATTTAAGAGGTAGAGTTACAGACGGTGAGAGGGAGAGACAGAGAGAAAGGTCTTCCTTCTGCTGGTTCACTCCTCAACTGGCCGCAATGGCCGGAGCTGCGCCGATCTGAAGCCAGGAGCCAGGAGGTTTTTCCCAGTCTCCCACGTGGGTGCACTTGGGCCATCTTCCACTGCTTTCCCAGGCCACAGCAGGGAGCTGGATTGGAAGTGGGGCAGCGGGGACTTGAACCAGCGCCCATATGGGATGCCGGTGTCGCAGGCGGAGGATAAACCTGTGCCACCACGTCAGCCCCTTAAATTTTATTTTGAAGAATGTGTTCCAGGGAAATCAGTGGGATGGCGTCTCCTTCCCCTTGATGGCAGCACATTTATTGGAGCAGTCGTTTTGCACACAGTCTGCTGACACTGTGATGTGTGTGAGGCTCATTGTTTTGTTCTGTTTGCTCTCCCTCTTTCTGGTCAGATGCTGCCGGGAAAGGGAGAAGTTCCTTCCTGGGAACGGGAGAAGCGTGGAGGTTGGGACGCAAGCGACTTCGTGCGGCCTTGCGTCCTCCTCAGTGTGGCCTTGGCAATGTGTGCAGCTCTTGGTAGGAGCACTTGTTAAAGATGCTGGCGGCGTTCCCACAGCTCGCTGTCTCTGCTCAGTGCTCTGTAGCTCATTTCTGTGCCTTAACCTGTGAGAGAGTCTGAGTTGTGGCATACCCTGTCTGTGTGTGTTGAAGCAGCTGTGAAAGATGGGCTTGGGATTAAAAGCCTAAAACCAAGCTGGATTCAAATCCTGTCTTGACAAACTCTTACTAGCTACGTGGTCTCGGGAAAAGTGTGTAACTGGTGCTAGTGTCAGCTCCTTGTCTATAAAGTGTCTGTGTCTTCGGGGCTGTGTGCTGCCTCAGCGCCATTGTTTGTGCAGTGTTCAGCTCATGTTAGGTGTTCTGTAAAATGGCAATTGCTTTTATCTCTGATTTTTTCCCTTCCTTTTGGCTTTATATTTCCCAATTTTTGGTATTGCCATAAAATATGACATGCTACGTGATTTGAAATTTTTAAAAAAAATATTTTATTGATTCGAAAGGCAGAGTGACAGAGGGAGAGACAGAGAAAGATCCTCTGTTGGTTCACTCTCCAGATGGCTGCAGAGGCCAGGGCTGGGCCGTGCTGAAGCCAGGAGGTCCATCTGGGTTTCCCGCACGTGGGTACAGGAGCCCAAGCACTTGGGCCATCCTCTGCTTCTTCCCTGGTGGGTTAGCAGGAAGCTGGATCAGAAGTGGAGAAGCCAGGACTTGAACCAGTGCTCCGACATGGTCTATAGGAGCGGTGAGCAGCGGCGTGGCCCGCATGTAACACTTACTTCCCATCTGCTTTAAATGCTTACTGGAACGTCACTGCATCTTTCTTTCTTAGTGCCAGGGTTCATTCACGTTTAGGTGGACACAGGGATCTGTGTTGGACTTGGTGGCACGGTCGGGTGGGGAAGGCCGTGAAGAGGAAAGCCAGCCTGGCCAGGCTGTGTCCTACGGCTTTATCATCAAGAATCTTGGGAAGCCTCGGTCAGTACTTACTGTTCACCTCAGTCCTGATTTAGAACATCGAGACTTCAGGCTAGGCCTAAGGTCTGTTCTCAGCAGGGTGTGATCACCAACTTTGGCACTGCTGCAGGCAGCCCACTGGCAGTATTCTCCATGTTGCCATCTCTGTGTTTGAAAGATTTGTTTGAAAGGCAGAGTGAGAGAGAAAGACAGAGTGACAGAGTGACAGAGAGAGAGAGAGAGAGAGAGAGAGAGAGAGAAGAGGGAACGCGTGATGGAGAGAGAAGGACTATCTCCCATTGCTGGCTCATCCCTGGATGGCTGCAGCCATGAAGCCAGGAACCAGGAGCCAGGAGCTCAAGGACTTGCGGCAGCTTGTGTTGCCTCCCAGGTGCATTGTGGGGCTGGACTGGAACTGGCTGTCCAGGGTGGGTGTGGGGGTCCCAGGTGCATTGTGGGGCTGGACTGGAACTGGCTCTGCAGGGTGGTTGCAGGAGTCCCAGGTGCATTGTGGGGCTGGACTGGAACTGGCTCTCCAGGGTGGGTGCGGGAGTCCCAGGTGCATTGTGGGGCTGGACTGGAACTGGCTCTCCAGGGTGGGTGCGGGGGTCCCAGGTGCATTGTGGGGCTGGACTGGAACTGGCTCTCCAGGGTGGGTGCGGGAGTCCCAGGTGCATTGTGTAGGGCTGGACTGGAACTGGCTCTGCAGGGTGGGTGCGGGAGTCCCAGGTGCATTGTGTGGGGCTGGACTGGAACTGGCTCTCCAGGGTGGGTGCGGGGGTCCCAGGTGCATTGTGGGGCTGGACTGGAACTGGCTCTCCAGGGTGGGTGCGGGGGTCCCAGGTGGTGGCTCAGCCCGCTGTGCCGCTCGGCCTTCCCTCCTCTGTTCTCAGTGGTGGCGTACTAGCTCCACGTTTGATCCATGAAGTAATCATTTCCAAGTACGGGTTCCAGGGCTCAGCCCTACCCCTCCGGTGTCAGGCAGGAACTAGACACGGCCGTGGCTTGGCCCGTCTGCTCTCCCGCAGCGAGGAGCAGGTGGCGTGCAGCCGCGTGTCTGAGGGCCTGGGTCCGCGCCGCCCCCTGTAGCCCGCGACTGTGATTCTCGCAGTTGCAGGACCCTTGTCCCTCAGCCAGAAGGATCTGGCAAGAGGACAGACGCGTGCCAGCTGGCCTGGCTCCCTTCCAGAGGGCTTACTTCCTGGATGCCTTATCGCTTCTGTTTTATTGGTCAGGACTGTAATTTGGTCACTTGCAAGGGAGGCTGGGAAAGGAAGCTTTTTAGCCAAGTCTTTTATTCAAACAAAATAGGTCAGGGTTCTCTTATTAAGGAAGGGGAAATTGTGTGTTGGGCAAGCAACTAAAAGTATTGACCTCAATTTTTTTTAAAATTAGAATAGCTGGCTACCTAAGACACCGCACATCAGCAATTCAACCTGACACACGCGAATCAGTTAATAAACGCCAGCTTTCATCTGCAGAGGCGGTTGCCCACAGTTGAGGGCACCGTGTCGAAACACGCGGTTCTGGTTCCTGGGCCTGCTCTGCTCGTGCTGGTCGTGTGACCCACATCTTTGCCTTCGCTGCTTTGCTGCCATCCCTTTGGAAGGCCCCGATACCTAATTCAGGGGATCATTGTAATGATCAGACGAAAAGAAATGTGGACGAGGAAGAGCGCCGCGTACCCGTGTAGCGCTCGGCACACGGGTGAGTGCTGGTGGTGATGAGGTCACGCCGTGAAGACTGGGCTAGCTTTGTGTTTGTCGTGCCCCAGACAGAGAATTTTTTCCTTGGAAATGTGTGTCAGCACTGGATGAGGCCATCCAGCACTCCCTGAGCTCCCGCTGTGCCGCGTCGCGTGTGGGTGCTGGTGAGGGGAGGGACAAGACGCCTGCTCGCATGGCGCTTCTCGTCTGGGAGGAGCGTGGGGTCAGGGAGCAGCCGAGGACCCACACAGCGCCTGCAGACGTCAGGTTCGCATCTTTGGACGAGGAGAACGGCACGATTTTTATGATGGTCTTTTTTTTTTTTAAGCTGCATTTATTTATTTGAGAGGCAGAGAGAGAGGTCTTCCATCCACTGGTGACCTGGTACAGCTGTTTCGCCAGTTCTGGAAGCCTTACTTTTCACCATGACTTTGACAAGAGGACTTATTCAGAAAAGGGTTTGCGAACTTGTACACACCTGTATTTCCCACGGTTCAGGTGACAGTGTCTAAGTCATTCAGAATTAACAGTTTTTTTTTTTTTTTTTTTTTTTTTTATGCCTCCCAAATGGCTGCAGCGGCCAGAGCTGGGCCGGGAAGAAGCCAGGAGCCAGGAGCTTCTTCTGGGTCTCCCACACGGGCGCAGGAGCCCAAGGACCTGGGCCTGTTCTGATGCTTTCCCAGGCCCGTTAGCAGGCATGGAAGTGGAACAGCCGGAACTCGAGCCAGTGCCCCCATGGGAGGCCCAGGTGGCGGCTTCACCTGCTACGCCACAGCTCTGGCCCCTAGAGTTACCAGTTTGAGCTAGCTCTTTAATAAACGCAAAACATTACTAAAAGTACTTATGAAAAGTCTTTAGAGCATGTGTGTGTTTTAGTGATTTTTAGTTGATTTGGTATATTTTTTTCATTTGGTATGTTTTTTCCGCACAGGAATAGTATCAGTTTTCACATTCTGTCTATTAAATGTCTGTGTCTGGAAAGGCAAAGACTTTTTTTTTGTGCCCTGTGCTTGGCCACTTTTTTTCAGTGTGAAGAGGTGATTACCGAGTTGGAAGGATTACAGAAGGCCCATCCATGTTGTGCACGTTAATCCATTCTGCTGTGTCATACCCCCTCACACTGCAGTTAAGGAACTAAGTAGGAGAGTGGACGATGAAAGATGGAGAGTGGACGTGAAGATGCACACCAGTGTGAAAAAATGCAGGACTGGGGCCGGCGCCGTGGCTCACCTGGTTAATCCTCTGCCTGCAGTGCCGGCATCCCCTATGGGCGCCGGTTCTAGTCCCGGTCGGGGTGCCGGATTCTGTCCCGGGTGCCCCCCTTCCAGGCCAGCTCTCTGCTGTGGCCCGGGAGTGCAGTGGAGGATGGCCCAAGTGCTTGGGCCCTGCACCCCATGGGAGACCAGGAGGAAGTGCCCGGCTCCTGGCTTCAGATTGGCGCAGTGAAAGCCGTAGCAGCATTTGGGGAGTGAACCAACAGAAGGAAGACCTTTATCTCTGTCTCTCTCTCTCTCTCTCTCTCTCACTCACTCTCTCTGTAACTCTACCTGTCAAATAAATTAAAAAAAAAAAAAGCAGGTCTGAATGAGGACCTTGTGCAGATCTCCAGCATATTAAGCCAGTGCTTAGCTGGGCGCGAGGAAGGCAGCTTTCACGCTTGGATTAGAACGTTCCTAGGAGACCCCTTTTACCCTGCGCGTGTATATTTAAACTGGAGTAGCAGGGTTGCAGAATAACACGTATCTTTACCGTGTGCAGTGCATACTGATCCTTCCTGTTGGATTCTGTTTACCCGAGGAACAATGATGGTTATCCCAGTAAATTAGTTTTAAAAACTTGGCATTAAGGAGCCTACTGTAAAGAATAAATTGAAGATTTTATTCCTATCTCTAATCCTGTATAACATTCTTGCAGTGTTGGAGAAGTTAAAATTATGAATGAACTTAAATTATTCTCTATACTTTATTAATTACTAGTTTCTGTGAGGCACATTTTTTCTAATGAAACATCATTGTCTATTCTGAATTAGTGAGTTTTTACTGTATGACAATAATCCATTATCTTAGAACCAAAATGTTTTTCAGTTTCTGGATAACCCCCATGTGGGAGATCTTGAATGAGAGTGATTGTTAGGTGCCGGCACTGTGGTTTAAGCGGTAGAGCTGCTGCCAGCAGGGCTGGCATCCCTGTGGGTGCTGGTTCGAGTCCCGGCTGCTCCTCTTCCAGTCCAGCTCTCTGCTGTGGCGTGGGAAAGCAGTGAAAGATGGCCCAAGTCCTTGGGCCCCTGCACCCACATGGGAGACCAGGAAGAAGCTCCTGGCTCCTGGCTTCAGATCAGTGTAGCTGCCGCTGTCGCGGCCACTTGGGGAGTGGGCCAGTAGATGGAAGACCCCTCTTCTCTCTCTCTCTGCCTCTGCCTATCTGTAACCCTGCCTTTTAAATAGATAAATAAATCTTAAAAAAAAAAAAAAAAAGGAAAAATCTGCAAAGTGACTGTTAGCGAAGAAGACCTGAAGCCCGCCAGCCCCAGCTTTTCATCACCAGGTGTGGAGGACACTGGCATCTTGTCTTTTAGCCATTTGTTAAGTCACGCTGGGTTTGTTCATTGAGTAAGAGCATCTGAGAGAGAGACTTTCGAGGGCTGGGCTAAGGTGCAGCGTGTTCAGCTGCTGCCGGTGACGCAGGCATCCCAAATGGATGCCGGTTCAAGTCCCAGATGTTCTTACTTCCTGTCCAGCCCCCTGCTAATGCGCCTGGGAAAGCAGCAGACGATGGCTCAAATGTTTGGGCCCCTGCACCTACTTGGGAGACCAGGAAGAAGTTCCCGGCTTTGGCCTGGCCCAGCCCTGGCTGTTGTTCACATCTGGGGAGTGAACCAGTGGATGGATGAGACCTTGAATGGCTAAAGCAATCTTATGCAACAAAAACAAAGCCGGAGGCATCACAGTACTGGATTTCAAGACATAGTACAAGGCAGTTATAGTCAAAACAGCCTGGTACTGGTACAAAAACAGATGGATAGACCAATAGGACAATATAGAAATGCCAGAAATCAATCCAGGCATCTACAACCAACTTATATTTGACCGAGGGGCTAAAACCAGTCCCTGGAACAAGGACAGTCTCTTCAACAAATGGTGCTGGGAAAACGGGATTTCTACATGCAGGAGAATGAAGCAAGACCCCTACCTTACACCTTACACAAAAATCCATTCAAAATGGATTAAAGACCTAAAGCTATGACCCAACACCATCAAATTATTAGAGAACATTGGGGGAGACCCTGCAAGACATTGCCACAGGCACAGACTTCTTGGAAAGACCCCAGAGGCGCAGGCAGGCAAAGCCAAAATTAACATGGAATTACATCAAATTGAACAGCTTCTCACTGCAAAGGAAACACTCAGGGGAGTGAAGAGGCACCTGCAGAATGGGAGAAATTATTTGTAAACAGTGTAACTGATAAAGGATTAATAACCAGAATCTACAAAGAGATCAAGAAACTCCACAACAACAAAACAGACAACCCAGTGAAGAAATGGACAAAGGACTTAAACATACGTTTTTCAAAAGAGGAAATGCAAATGGCCAACAGACACATGAAAAAATGTCCAGGATCACTTAGCCATCAGGGAAATACAAATCAAAACCACAATGAGGTTCCACCTCACCCCAGTCAGAATGGCTCACATACAGAAATCTACCAACAACAGATGCTGGCGAGGATGTGGGGAAAAAGGGACACTAACCCACTGTTGGTGGGAATGCAAACTGGTAAAACCACTGTGGAAGCAGTCTGGAGATTCCTCGGAAACCTGAATACAGACCTACCTTAAGAGCCAGCCATCCCACTCCTGGGAATTGACCGAAGGGAAATGAAATCAGCATATGAAAGAGTTATCTGCACCCCCCTGTTTATTGCAGCTCAGTTCACAATAGCCTAATGGAATCAGCCTAAATGCCCACCAGTTGAAGACTGGATAAAGAAATTATGGGATATGTACTCTATGGAATACTACACAGCGGTTAAAAAAATGAAATCCTGTCATTTGCAACAAAATGGATGAATCTGGAAAGCATCATACTTAGTTAAATAAGCCAGTCCCAAAGGGACAAATAGCATATGTTCTCCTTTATAACCTGATAACCTAATAGAGCACCTAAAAGGAAATCTGTAGACATGAAATTGACACTTGGAGAAGCAGTGACTTGGAGAGACCTTGTCTTGACTGTTGAGGAGCAGTTTTGTTTTTGTTTTCTTAATGGAGAATGGGACTGGGAATGGGAGAGGGAGGAGGAGGTGGACTGTGAGGATTGGGGTGGCAGGGCGGGTGTGGTGGGAAGTATCACTATATTTCCCAAGTTGTACTTAGGAAATTTGTACTCATTAAATAGAAGGTTTCTTTACGAAAACAAAAAGCAACAGAGAAAAAAAGATAAGTTTGTTTGAAAGGCAGAGTGATGGAGAAGACAGAGACAGAGGTGGTCTTCCTTTAGCAGGGAGCTGGATCAGAAGCAGAGCCGCAGGACGGGAGTGGCGCTGTGCTCCTGGACGCTGGCCTCACAAGTAGCAGGTTAATCCACTGTGCCGTGCAGCAGCCCCAAATCAAATATTTCTTTATTTGGATTTTAAACTCCAGCCTGGTCTTGTTTTCATACAGGATGCTATTAATGTATAGAAAGCTGGTATTTCGGGTTTTGTTTGCATAAGATAATCCATGTGGACTTGTCCAGGGGTGGAATAACTGGTTTGAGAATAAACACCATTGAGAAGGAATGCCACTGGGTAGCGTACTTGTGAAAATCAGGGGGAAGCCTACACATCAGCAGATGTCTGTTGGCTGGGGCCGAGGGTACCTGGTAGAGGCTGCTCTGTGAGCTTCTTGTCCAGGGCCCTGCCGTCTCCAGGGTCGGGCAGTGAACTCCACTGAAGGCGAGAGAAGAAAGTGCTGGGGTTCCATGCAGGGCTTCCGTGCAGGAAGGGGGCAGGGACGCGAGAGGGAAGAACTTAGCGGCAGGCACCGCAGTTCTGCCTGACTCTGCCCGTAGTCAGAGGGGGCACAGCCAGGCAGCAAAGTGCACGCTGTGAGTGGTAGCCTGTTGGAGCTTTTTTTTTTTTTTTTTTTTTTAAGATTTATTTATTTTTTACTTGAGTCAGAGTTACACATAGAGAGGAGAGGCAGAGAGAGAGAGAGAGAGAGAGAGAGTCTTCCATCCAATGGTTCACTCCCCAGTTGGCTGCAACGACCGGAAGTGCACCGATCCAAAGCCAGGAGCCAGGAGCTTCTTCTGGGTCTCCCATATGGGTGCAGGGGCCCAAGGACTTGGGCCATCTTCTACTGCTATCTCAGGCCATAGCAGAGATGCTGGATCAGAAGAGGAGCTGCCGGGACTAGAACTGGTGTCCATATGGGATATCGGCACTTCAGGCCAGGGCGTTAACCTGCTGAGCCACGGCGCCGGCCCCCCCTTTTTTTTTTTTTTTTAAGATTCATTTTATTTACTTGAAAGGCAGAGTTACAGCGAGAGAGAGGCAGAAGCAGAGAGAGAGAGAGAGAGAGAGAGAGCTTCCGTTTGCTAGTTCACTTCCCAAGTAGCTGCCCCGGCCAGGGCTGGGTCATGCTGAAGCAGGAGCTCCTTCCGGGCCTCCCATGTGGATGCGGGGCCCGGCACTTGAGCCAGCCTCTGGTGCCTTACCAACTGCATCCATGGGGAGCTGGATCGGAGGTGGAGCGTCTGGGACTTAACTGGCCCATGTGGGATGCTGGCACTGCGGCCCTGTGGATCATTTTTATCAAGCAGTGTGTTTGTTCCCAAACAGTTGTCAGAGTTGTTCAGCTACACTGTTGGATGTTGTTGGCTGGCAAATGTATTCTTTTTTTTTTTTTTTTTTGACAGATAGAGTTAGACAGTGAGAGAGAGAGAGACAGAGAGAAAGGTCTTCTTTCCGTTGGTTCACCCCAAATGGCCACTATGGCCGGAGCTATGCCAATCTGAAGCCAGGAGCCAGGTGCTTCCTCTTGGTCTCCCACGCGGGTGCAGGGCTCAAGGACCTGGGCCATCCTCCACTGCCCTCCCGGGCCACAGCAGAGAGCTGGACTGGAAGAGGAGCAACCAGGACTAGAACCTGGTGCCCATATGGGATGCCAGCACCGCAGGCGGAGGATTAACCAAGTGAGCCACGGCACTGGCCCCCTGGCAAATGTGTTCTTAAATGCTGGGCAGTAGAGGATGGGAAAATGGAGAGGTGGGGGAAAGAGTTTAATGCTTGTCCATTTTCCTTTTTAGTATTTACAATTTCTCTACTCACAGCTGTTTCCATACAGGAGAACATTTTGTCTGTGAACATACCAATGATGAAAATGTTGAAAAAAAAAAAAACCCTACAATTTTAATAGAATGGTTGAGATGAGGTGTTGGTGGGGATAATTTGCACCGTGTGTTGAATCTTTGGTAAAGGTTAAAGTGCTTTAGAAGCATAGTAAACCCACCCTTTGACAAATGCCTGAGATACCAGAGCACTTCAGCCGTGTAAACATCAGCAGTGACACCCTAGAGTAAGTGAACAGCAGCAGCAGTGTGCCGAGCCTTGCTGCATCGCAGGGGTGGAGTCAGGAGATGGAGACCTTCCTGCCAGTAGTTGTGGCGCTGAAGTTTGGAACTGTTTTCCAGGGAACTTACTAAAATTAGGTGAGCTTGGAGTGTGTAGAAAGGGTGAATGGTTTAAACAGAGGTGTGCATGTAGGAGCAAACCTAATTGCGTCTGAGGTATGGAAAGAAAGTTAACCAATTCAGTTATTGTGTGAGCACTACCATGTAGCTTTGTGCTTTTTTTTTTTTTTTTTTTTTTAATTTATTTGAGAGGTAGAGTTACAGAGAAAAAGAGAGACAGAGAGATCTTCCATCCAGTGGTTCACTCCCCAAATGGTCGCAATGGCCAGAGCTGGGCCACACTGAAGCCAGGAACCCAGAGCTTCATCCAAGTGTCCCATGTGGGTGCAGGGGCCCAAACACATGGGTCATCTTTATCACTGCTTTCCCAGGTGCATTATAGGGAGCTGGATTGGAAATGGAGCAGCCAGGATTCCAACTGGAGCCCATATAGGATGCCAGCGTCGCAGGTGGTAGCTTTACCTATATGCCACCGCTCTGGGCCCCCCCCCTTTTTATTTAATAAATGTGAACTTACAAAGTGCAACTTTTGTATTGTTGTGGCTCCTCCCCCAACCTCCCTCCCTCCTGCGGCCCTCCCCTCTCCCACTCCCTCTGCCATCCCGCCCTTCATCGAGTTTCATTTTCAATCACCTTCATATACAGAAGATCAACTTAGTATATACTAAGCAAAGATTTCAACAGGCTGCACTCACACAGCCGCACAAGATACAGAGTACCATTCGACTAGTAGTTTTACCGTTAATTCTCATAGTACAACACATTAAGGACAGAGATCCTACATGGGGAGCAGGTGCACAGTGACTCCTGTTGTTGATTTAACAATTGGCACTCTTATTTATGACGTCAGTAATCACCCGAGGCTCTTGCCATGAGCTGTCGAGGCTATGGAAGCCCCTTGAGTTCACCAACTCTGAACTTGTTTAGTCAAGGCCGTATCACAGTGGAGGTTCCCTCCTCCCTTCAGAGAAAGGTTCCTCCTTCTTTGATGGCCCATTCTTTCTGCTGGGGTCTTGTTCACCAGGATCTTTCATTCAGGTAGTTTTTGCCACAGTGTCTTGGCTTTCCATGCCGGCGAGACTCTCATGGGCCTTTTAGCCAGATCCGAATGCCCCAAGGGTTGATTCTGAGGCTGTTTAGGGCGTTTGCCATTCTATGAGTCTGCTGTGTGTCCTGCTTCCCCCGAAGGATCATTCTCTCCCTCTTAATTCTATCCTTCATTATTTGCAGACACTGGTCTTATTTGTGAAATCTCTTCGACACTTACCCTATCTTTTTGATCGGTTATTTACTTATCACTTTACCAAGTGCACTGTCACTGGTACATGCCTCCTTGATGAGACTGAGTTGGAATCCCCTGGCACATTTCTAGCTCTGCCATTGGAGGTGAGTCCGAGTGAGCATGTGCCGACCTGTATATCTCCTCCTTCTCTTATTCCCACTCTTATATTTACAGAGATCACTTTTCTGTTAATTTTAAATGCCTAAGAATAATTGTGTATTGATTACAGAGTTCAACCAGTGGTATTAAGTAGAACAAACAACAACAACAAAATACTAAAAGGAATAAAATAGTAAGTTGTTCCTCAACAGTCAAGACAGGGCTGATCTAGTCATTTTTTCTCATAGTGTCCATAGAGTCACATAGAGAGAGGCAGAGGCAGAAGGGGAGGGGGAGGGGTTCTTCATCCACTGGTTCACTCCCCAATGGGCTGCAACGGCCAGCAATGCACCGATCCGAAGCCAGGGGCCAGGAACTGCTTCCGGGTCTCCCACACAGGTACAGGGGCCCAAGGACCTGTGCCATCCTCCACTGCTTTCCCAGGGAGCTGGATTGGAAGTAGAGCAGCCAAGTCTTGAACCAGGGCCCATATGGGATGCCGGCGCTGCAGGTGGCCCCTCTCTTCCTAGTTTACGGGGAACCTTTATCATGAATGGTGTGCTGGAGTTTTCCAAATGCTTCTTCTGTGTCAGTTGATAAGGATCAGACGATTTTTCTTTGGTTATCTGTTGGTGGGTGTTACACTGATTTTTTTTTTTTTTTTTTTTTTTAGAAAGTAGTGTAGCAGGCTTGCATACTTGAAATACATTCTCCTTGGTTGTAGTGTTTTATCTATTGCTGGATTTAACTTGCTAATATTTTGTTAAGGATCATGTGAGGTATAGGTTGTTTTCTTTTTTTCTTTTCTTTTTTTTTTTTTTTTTTTTTTATTTGACAGGCAGAGTTAGAGACAGAGAGAAATGTCTTCCTTCCGTTGGTTCACCCCCAAATGGCCGCTGCGGCTGGCGCGCTGTGTGATCCAAAGCCAGGAGCCAGGTGCTTCCTCCTGGTCTCCCATGGGGTGCAGGGCCCAAGCACTTGGGCCATCCTGCACTGCCTTCCCGGGCCACAGCAGAGAGCTGGCCTGGAAGAGGAGCCACCAGGACAGAATCTGGCGCCCCGACCGGGACTAGAACCCGGGGTGCTGGCGCCGCAGGCGGAGGATTAGCCTAGTGAGCCGCGGGGCCGGCTGGTTCTTTTCTTGTGCTGTTTTTGTCTGGTTTGGTTTTGGTGAAATGGCCTCATAAAGGGAGTTGGGAAGTTCCTGCTGCTTCTCTTCTGGAAGGCGGCTTGTGGAGTGGATGTTGATTTGTTTTCAGTGCTCAGTGCAGTCCTCCAGTGGGGCCGGCTAGGCCTCGGGCTGTTTTTCAGGAACTTTACAATTTCAAGCTCAATTTATTTATCAGTTGCAGGGTTACGCAGGTCGCTGTTTCTTCTTGGCTGAGTGTTGGCAGTGGGCTGTTTGTGAAGAATTGTCCATTGTTTTCTAAATTACAGAATTGTGACCCAGACTTGTTTGTAGTATTTCCTTATCTTTTTTTTAATTGAGATAAATTTCATTTTATTGGGGCCTGTGCTGTGGCTAAAGTGTGTGTGTGTGCGTGTACGCACACGCACACGCACACGCACACGCACACACACAGAAAAGCTAAAGCTGCCCCTGCAGTGCCGGCATCCCATATGATGCTGGTTTGAGTCCTGGCTGCTCCACTTCCCATCCAGCTCTCTGCTATGGCCTGGGAAAGCAGTGGAAGATGGCCCAAGTCCTTGGGCCCCTGCACCTGTGTGGGAGACCCAGAAGAAGCTCCTGGCTCCTGGCTTCGGATCGGTGCATCGCTGGCCAATGCAGCCAATTGGAGAGTGAACCATCGGATGGAAGACCTCTCTCTCTCTCTCTCTCTCTCTCTCTGTTTCTGCCTCTTCTCTCTCTGTGTAACTGACTTTCACATAAATTAATCTTTAAAAAAATGCATTTTATGTACTTTCATTTTAACAATGCGTCTGTTTATTTGAAAGGCAGAGTCACAGAGTGAGGGGGAAAGAGCTCTTCTGTCTGCTGGTTCACTCCCCAAACGGCTGCAGTGGCAGGGCCAGCCCAGGCCGGAGCTTCATCTGGGTCTCCCATGTGGGTGTGGAGCCCAAGCACCTGGGCCGTCTTCTGCTGCTTTCCAGGAGGATTACCAGGGAGCTGGGTTGGATGTGGAGCAGTTGGAACACGAGCCAGTGCCCATGTGGGATGTTGGTGTCTCAGGCAGTGGCCTAAATTGCACCATAGTGCTGGCCGCCAAAATTCACCATTTATGTGTATTTTTAAGGCTGGCTTATTTATTTTAAAGGCAGAGTTACGGAGAGAGCAGGTAGAGGAAGAGTGAGAGATAGATATCTTCTGTCTGCTGATTTACTGCCCATGTGACCACAATGCCAGGGCTGCGCCAGGCTGAAGCCAGGAGCCTTCTGGGTCTCCCACGCCGGTGCAGGAGCCCAAGCACGTGGGCCATCTGCTGCTGCTTTCACAGGCACGTTAGCAGGGAGCTGGGTCAGGAGTACAGCAGCTGGGACTCAGACTGGCCCCCATACGGATGCTGACTTCACAGACAGCGGCTTAACCAGCTGCGCTACAATGCTGGCCAGCGAAATGCATCCATTTTAGTGTGTTCACTTCAGTGGGTTTCTGTTTGCTTTAGTATATTCAGTTTTGCAGCCATCACCACTACCTAATTCCAGAGCATTTTCTTTCTTTCTTTTTTTTAAGGATTGATTTTATTTATTTGAAAGTCACAGTTACACAGAGAGAGGAGAGGCAGAGAGAGAGAGAGAGAGAGAGAGAGAGGTCTTTCATCCGTTGGTTCACTCCCCAGATGGCCGCAAGGGCCGGAGCTGCTCCAATCCAAAACCAGGAGCCAGGAGCTTCTTCTGGGTCTCCCATGCGGGTGCAGGGGCCCAAGGACTTGGGTCATCCTCTACTGCTTTCCCAGGCCATAGCAGAGAGCTGGACTGGAAGAGGAGCAGCCGGGACTGGAACCGGCGTCCATATGTGATGCCGGTGCTTCAGGCCAGGGCGCCACAGCGGCGGCCCCCAGAGCGTTCTCATTACCCTGGGAAGAAAAGCCTGCAGCCAATAAGCAGTCTCTCTTCATTCTCCTTCTTTCCAGCCACTGATGGGTTCTGTGTGTGCACATTCTGAGCCCTTCCTGTAGGTGGTGTTAGAGCCCTTCCTGTGGGTGGTGTGGAGCCCTCGTGTGGGTGGTGTGGAGCCTCGTGTGGGTGGTGTGGGGCCCTCGTGTGGGTGGTGTGGAGCCCTCCTGGGGGTGGTGTGGAGCCCCCGTGTGGGTGGTGTGGAGCCCCCGTGTGGGTGGTGTGGGGCCCTCGTGTGGGTGGTGTGGAGCCCCCGTGTGGGTGGTGTGGGGCCCTCGTGTGGGTGGTGTGGAGCCTCCTGTGGGTGGTGTGGAGCCCCCGTGTGGGTGGTGTGGGGCCCTCGTGTGGGTGGTGTGGAGCCTCATGTGGGTGGTGTGGAGCCCTCGTGTGGGTGGTGTGGAGCCTCATGTGGGTGGTGTGGAGCCCTCGTGTGGGTGGTGTGGAGCCTCATGTGGGTGGTGTGGAGCCCTCGTGTGGGTGGTGTGGAGCCCTCGTGTGGGTGGTGTGGAGCCCTCGTGTGGGTGGTGTGGAGCCTCATGTGGGTGGTGTGGAGCCCTCGTGTGGGTGGTGTGGGGCCCTCGTGTGGGTGGTGTGGAGCCTCGTGTGGGTGGTGTGGAGCCCTCGTGTGGGTGGTGTGGAGCCCTCGTGTGGGTGGTGTGGAGCCCTCCTGTGGGTGGTGTGGAGCCCCCGTGTGGGTGTTGTGGGGCCCTCGTGTGGGTGGTGTGGAGCCTCATGTGGGTGGTGTGGAGCCCTCGTGTGGGTGGTGTGGAGCCTCATGTGGGTGGTGTGGAGCCCTCGTGTGGGTGGTGTGGGGCCCTCGTGTGGGTGGTGTGGAGCCCCCGTGTGGGTGGTGTGGAGCCCTCGTGTGGGTGGTGTGGAGCCCCCGTGTGGGTGGTGTGGAGCCCCCGTGTGGGTGGTGTGGAGCCCTCGTGTAGGTGGTGTGGGGCCCTCGTGTGGGTGGTGTGGAGCCCCCGTGTGGGTGAGTGGAGCCCCCGTGTGGGTGAGTGGAGCCCCCGTGTGGGTGGTGTGGAGCCCTCGTGTGGGTGGTGTGGAGCCCTCGTGTGGGTGGTGTGGAGCCCTCGTGTAGGTGGTGTGGAGCCCCCGTGTGGGTGGTGTGGAGCCCTCGTTGGGTGGTGTTGCAGGATGGTGACTGGCGCGGGTTCGGTGTGCGAGGCTCGCTGGGTTGCACGCAGGTCAGTATTTGCTCCTTGGCTCTGGTGGCAGCAGTGCAGCTCTGCTTCCGCGTCTCATCGTGTGCTCACCTCCCCGAATGTGGATAGACCCCGTGATCCCATGGGCTCCCCCAGACAATCGGGGGGATCCCCAGCCCTAGGTGTTTAGTAACAGGTGCAGACTCAGGGTTGCCCTGTGCAGTAGCATACGCAGAGGCTGTGGGTGTTGAGACCGTGTAGACCTTGGCGGTGGCATTCTGCCTGTCACGTGGCTTCGCCCGCGCAGCAGGCCCAGGGAGCTCATCCTCTGTCCCCACCCTGCTGTGGAGTCCGTGCGTGGATGTTCTGTTTTGGCCGCTGCGTGTTTCAGTGTGTGACTTCTCTTCGACGCTTTAAAAGCTGACATCTGTTCCTTTCCAGGATCTTATGTGTATATACTTTGGTTTTAAGAGAGTTCGTAGTTGTTTGTAGAAGTGTTATTATGACGGTGGCTTTAAACTTCTTGTCGGGTAATCCCAGAATTTTAATCACCTCGGTGTTAGCATCAGTCTTTATCTCTTCATTCACGTGTGTTTCCTGGTTGTTGGCATGCATGGCGTTGTTTGAGTGTACCCGGACACGTAGGGTATTATATTAGGACCCTTGACCCTGTTCCATCTGTTTCGGTAGAGCTGCCTGTCTAGGCTCCGTGTGACTGCCGTCCTGCCTTGCTGGGCTGTGACTCCTGGGTGATCTAGCGTGCCCATCCTTCGCAATGCTGCCGATTCTCGTCTGCTTGATTTTTCTGGCACTGCTGGAAATCCTGTGGCTCCCTGGCGGGTCTGGCGCCTCAGCTCAGTGTTGTCACAGGTGTGGGATGGGGACCTGCCTGCCCCGTTCCGGGTGGTGGGTGCAGATCTGCGGCTGCTGGCGCTGTGGTGGAGTGGCCCTGCCACTGTCCTGGGTGGGGACCGGGTAGTGTACAAGTGTCTGTCCAGGTCTCTGCTGAGTCCTTTGGCCAGAGAGCAGGATTTTCTTGGCTGCCCGCCTGCCTGCCTACTGTCCTTCCCTGTTGGTGGTCCGAGGCTGCAGGCTTCTCTGGCCTGGGGCATATGGGAGCTCGCCGGCAGCGCCTGCTAGGCTGCCTCCTTCCGCCCTGCAGGCCTCGTGGCTGTCTGTTACGTGGTTGGGTTTGAGGGGACAGTCAGGGAACGTGAGCCTCTGCCAGCCCCCTCCAGACCTGGGGCCCTCGCGGTTTGCGTTTTCCCCTACTGGGTTTACTGGCAGTACGTGGGGCGTGACTGCTGCTCTTGCTGTATTGGTCCTGGACCGTCACGTGGCGCGTTCCTTCACGGCTGCTGTTCACCGTGGGAACAGGATAGGGGTTGTTCTTGTTTCAACTGAATGGAAATGAGGAATGTCACGGTTTTACTTGCTCATGCATTCATTTACTCATTCATGTATTTATTTTTAGGGAGTGGAGCAACTGCAGTGGTCCAGGCAGCTCACTGTACCCCTAAAAAGGAGAAAGTGGCAATCAAACGGATCAACCTTGAGAAATGCCAGACGAGCATGGATGAGCTGCTGGTACGCACACCTCGTGTGTCCTGCGTGGGGAGGTCGACTCCTGTGTGTGCACGTCGCGGTGGGAAACAACCTGAAGCTTTTGGTTCATTTTTTCTAATGGTTCATAATTTCTTCACTAACCAATAGTGTTTATCATAAAATTTATAAAGTATAGCTAAGTAGAAAATCGGTCTAATCCTCTCCGGAGAGTACCATCTGCTGTCTAAGCTTCCGTTTAACTGCTTGTTCTCTTACGGCAGTTCGATGACGCAGGAGCTCTGTCTGTCTGTCTGCACTGGGTGTGGTCTTCTGTTGAATGGGCAGGCCACAGCTTGCCTCTTCTGGCACTGGATGATAGCTCATTGTCTCTTTTTATTATTTTTTTAAAGACTTATCTATTTGAAAGGCAGAGTTACACAGAGCGCGAGGGAGAGGTAGACAGGTCCTCCGTCTACTCACTCACTCCCCACGTGGCCACAATGGCCAGAGCTGGCCAATCTGAAGCCAGGAGCCAGGAACAACTTCCGGGTCTCCCATGTGGGTGCAAAAGCCCAGGTGCTTGGGCCATGTTCTGCTGTTTTCCCAGGCACGGTACCGGGGAGCTGAATTGGAAGTGGAGCAGCTGGGACACAAACTGGCACTCATGGGACGCTGGCACTGCAGGTGGTGGCTTAACCCATTATGCCATAGTGCTGGCCCCTCTTTTTATTGTTATAAACAATACTGGCTTACTTCTCTGTTTCCTTAAAATAATATAATGGAATTGTGATTCCTAGGTCATATGGAATACCCTTTAAAAGTTTGTGGCTCAGGCCAGCGCCGCGGCTCAATAGGCTAATCCTCCACCTAGCGGCACTGGCACACCGGGTTCTAGTCCCGGTCGGGGCACCGGATTCTGTCCTGGTTGCCCCTCTTCCAGGCCAGCTCTCTGCTGTGGCCAGGGAGTCCAGAGGAGGATGTCCCAAGTGCTTGGGCCCTGCACCCCATGGGAGACCAGAAGCACCTGGCTCCTGCCTTTGGATCAGTGCGGTGCACCGGCTGCAGCGTGCCAGCCGTGGCTGCCATTGGAGGGTGAACCAATGGCAAAAGGAAGACCTTTCTCTCTGTCTCTCTCACTATCCACTCTGCCTGTCAAAAAAACAAACAAAAAAGTCTGTGGCTCAGGACTGGCACTGTGGCACAGTGAGTAAAGCCATCACCTACAGTGCCGGCATCCTATATGGCTGCCGGTTCAATTTCTGGCTGCTCTACTTCTGATCCAGCTCTCTGCTATGGCCTGGGAAAGCAGTGGAAGATGACCCTAGTGTTTGGGCCCCTGTACCTGTGTGGGAGACCCGGAAGAGGCTTCTCCCACACAGAGAGAGCCACACAAGAGGCTCCTGGCTTCAGATCGGCGCAGCTCCGGCTGTTGTGGCCATCTTGGGAATAAGTCAGTGGATGGAAGACCTACTTCTCTCTCTCTCTCTCTCTGTCTCTGTCTCTCTCTCTCTCTCTCTCTCTCTGCCTCTGCTTCTACCTCTCTGTAACCCTGCCTTTCAAATAAATAGATCTTAAAAAAAAGAAAACTATGGCTCTCAGGAGACGTGGTGTGGGTTCACATTCTGACCACTGGTGCAGGAGATGCGAGGTGGAGTGACCCTACACAGTAGCAGCGCTGAAGGCCGAGGGAGGGAGGAACGCCGTGTCCCAGGGTCAGTAGCTGTCAGAGGTCTGTGCCGTTCAAGTGTAGTCGGTCGCACAGTGCTGCTGTCGTGTCCTGGCACACAGAGTTTAGTAGGGACAGTAAGGCTCAGCACGGAGGTGTTGAATGTTGTCAATCCTGTGGGGTTAGGATGGAAAGAATACGTGCTCTGAGAATCTTTGAGTTTTTTTCCTGAAGCCCAGTTGATGCAGTATTTGAGAATTAGAAGCTGCCCACAAATGTGAGCTGGTGTTGTAATTTAAGTACTTTCTCTAAGAGCACATAGAGTTAGTAATAGCCAAGGCAGGAGTCAGGACTGGAGTGACCGTCCTGTCCAGGACTTTCTCCTCTGTCCCAACTGGGATTTAGTTTCTGGTGTGCCTGGCCTGGGTATCAGGGAGTAATTGGAATGAAAGAAAACACGGTGTGGGATGGCTCGCTTGTATTGAACCTGCAGCAGCTCAGGCACGTGGGTTTCTTCCAGAAGGAGCAGTTACTGGAGTGGTCTTGAGCCATCTCTGGGAAGGAGGTGCTGGCTGAAGTCCTACTGGAAAGTCTGGGATTTACTGTTGCCGGCAACACAGTGGGACCCCATTTGGACATTTGAACTGCGGCATTGGTAAAACAAGCCTATAAACTACAAACTGGGGGTTGGTGCTGTGGGTAAAGCTGCCTCCTGCAGTGCCAGCAACCCATATGGGCACCGGTTCAAGTCTTGACTTTTCTACTTCCAATCCAGCTCTCTGCTGTGGCCTGGGAAAGCAGTGGAAGATGGCCCAAGTCCTTGGGTCCCTGCACCCACATGGGAGACCCGGAGGAAGCTCCGCAGCTCCGGCCGTTGCGGCCATTTGGGGAGTGAACCAGCGGATGGAAGGCCCCCCCCCCCCCGCCTCTCTGTAACTCTGCTTTTCAAATAAATAAACCTTAAAAAATTACAAACTAATTCTGTTAAAGGAAACACAAACATTTTAATGTACATAGGATTGGGACTAGAGAAGTCCAGCGTGAACACCTGTCATTTGCCAGGTGGTGTAGGCTGGAGGGAGGCCTTGGTGCTGCTCATGGCCGAGGGACTGAGGCCCGTAGTTTAAATAACCTAGTGAAGATCACAGGGCGATGATGGTGGCAGATCTCACTGCCAGGCACTCCTGTGTGTTTCACCCTAGAGGGCTCACTGTGTAGACGAGGGTAGTAAGGCAGAGTTAGTGCGAGAGTGACAAACGTTCTTAAATGTTTTTTCACATTATTGAAAGCAATATTTTGTTGTTGCACTTTAATAGGAATGCAAATTTGGTATCTTTGTTTTTTAGCTCCATTATAATCTTATGGGACGACTGTCATATGTGGTCCATCATTGATTGAAATTTTTTTTAAGATGTATTTATTTACTTGAGAGATAGAGTTACTTACTGACAGAGAGGGAGAGACTAGAGAGAAAGGTCTTCCATCCTCTGGTTCACTCTGCAAATGGCCACAACAGCTGGATCTGGGCCAATCTGAAGCCAGGAGCTTCTTCTGGGTCTCCCACGTGGGTGCAGGGACCCAAGGACCTGGGCCATCTTCTACTGCTTTCGCAGGCCATAGCAGAGAGCTGGATCAGAAGTGGAGCAGCTGGGACTCAAACTGGCACCCACAGGGCCCGGCATTGTAGTGCAGTAGGTTAATCCTCTGCCTGCAGCACCTGCATCCCATATGGGCGCCAGTTCTAGTCCTGGTTGCTCCTCTTCCAATCCAGCTGTCTGCTGTGGCGTGGGAAAGCAGTAGAGGATGGCCCAAGTCCTTGGGCTCCTGTACCCATGTGGGAGATCGGAAAAAGCTCCTGGCTCCTGGCTTTGGATTGGTGTAGCTCTGGCCGTTGCAGTCATTTGGGGAATGAACCAGCAGATGGAAGACCTTTCTCTCTGTCTCCCCCTCTCACTGTCTGTGACTACCTCTCAAATAAACAAAATCTTTAAGAAAACAAACAAACAAAGAAAGAAACTTGCACTCACATGAGATGCCAGCATTGCAGGCAGGGGCTTAGCCCACTAGGCCACAGGGTTGGCCCCAATTTGATATCTTATTAGAAGAAGAAAATTGGTTAGATAACGGTTTGTCTTTGCCCACATTGCAGTAGGCTTTATCTAGCGTGTATATACTTGGCAAGTAGGGAAAGGGAGAAAGAAAGGGGCTTCCGTAAAGGCAGCGTAAGATAATCGGCTGCTTTTCGGTGGCGTGGAGGAAGCTGTAGCGCTGTCAGTGAGAGACCCGTGGTGTCCGGCCTGCACCAGTGCGGGACGAGAGCTGAGTGCAGTGGGCTCTCTTTCATACTGACAGGTTTGAAACCCTTCGGTTTACCTTAAAAAAAAAAAATAAAAAAATGTGTGAGGTTGAGGTACTAGACTTCTGATGTGATGTTACAAATGGTTTTCCAAAGCTGTCTTTATTGTAGCACAGAAAGGGTGAGGCTCTGCAAGGAATGCAGGTTGTGACTTATGGCAGACAGGAAGGAGGGGTGGATAAGTATTGCTTCTCCCTCCTGTGAAGTGCTTCCGGGATGCCTGGCGACCTTTGCTTCGTGTGGGGGATGATCAGCTGCCACATATTTTTTTTTTTTTAAAGATTTATTTTATTTATTTGAAGGGCAGAATTACAGAGAGGGAGAAGGACACAGAAAGAGAAAGAGATATTCCATCCACTGGTTCAGTCCCCAAATGACCACAATGGCTAAGGCCGGACCAGGCCACGGCAAGGAGCCAGGAGCCTCTTCCAGGTCTCCCATGCAGGTGCAGCTGTCCAGGCACTTGGGCCATCTGCTGCTGCTTTCACAGGTACATCAGCAGGGAGCTAGATCCACACTGGAGCATCCAGGACTCGAACCGGCACCCATATGGGATGCCAGACCTGGCAGACAGGGGCTTTAACCCACTGCGCCACACCGCCTGTCCCCTGGATGCCACATCTTAACATGTTCATTATCTCCACAGAGGTTTTGCTCATAGACTTTTCTCTAAGAAGTCAGACCATGCAGGATTCTAGGTTTTTCTCTTCCCTAGTAGGTGGTCGGATTAGATTCTTTGGACGAATGTGTGAGGGGACATAAAGACGGCTGAAGTACTGTTCCTTCTATCCAGAGTCATGGTCATGATCTCGTTACACAGGGAGGCTCTGCCTGTGTGTGACCAACGTCTCGGGAGAGGTAGGCAGTCACGTGCGAGTAAGGAGAGGACGAGAGCTGCAGATTCGAAGACGGAGGGCCCCGTGGAGACGTCTGTGGCCGGGCACCAGGCGGGGCCGACGAACAAGCAGATGAAGACCCTGCTGGGCAGCGCTTAGAGTCAGGGAAGAACAGGAGAGAAGCAGGAGGCCTTGACGGGAGGAGACGGTGGTGTTTGGTAGAGGATGTTAGCTAGGGACTACGTGGGCAGGCCTTTGAAGGATTCTTTTTTTCTTTTTAAAGAATTCTTTGTTTATTTAAAAGGCAGGAAGGGGAGAGGGAGAGGGAGAGGAGGGCAGTGGAATCTTCCATCTGCTGGTTCACTCCCCAAATGGCTGCAGTGGCCAGGGCTGGGCCAGGCCAAAGCCAGGAGCCAGGAGCTTCTTCTGGGTCTTCCATGTGGGTTCAGGGGCCCACTTGGGCCATCTTCTACTGTTTTCTCAGGTCATAGCAGAGAGCTAGGTAAGGACTCGAACTGTGCTCATATAGGGTGCTGGCACAGCAGGTGGCAGCTTTAGCCTCTACACCACAGTGCTGCCCTCCCCCCCAACAGTGTCCCCCGCCATGTTTTAAGATTTATTTATTTGGGGGCCAGTGCTGTGGCGCAGTGGGTTAAAGCCCTGGCCTGAAGTGCTGGCATCCCATATGGGTGCCGGTTCTAGTCCTGGCTGCTCCTCTTCTGGTCCAGCTCTCTGCTGTGGCCTGGGAAAGCACTAGAAGATGGCCCAAGTCCTCAGGCCCCTGCGCCCACGTGGGAGACCCGGAAGAAGCTCCTGGCTTCTGGCTTCAGATTGGCGCAGCTCTGGCTGTTGTGGCCATCTGGGGAGTGAACCAGTGGATGGAAGATAGCCCCCCGCCCCCGTGTAACTCTTTCAAATAAATTAAGTAAATCTTAAAAAAAAAAATTTATTTATTTGAAAGGCCAAGTGAGAGAAAGAGAGAGGGAGTGGATTGAGATTTTTCATTTGCTTGTCCACTCCCCAAATGGCCGAAACAATCAGGGCTGGGTCCCTCTGACGCCAGGAGCCAGGAGCTCCGTCTGCGCCTCCCGCGTGGGTGCAGGGCCGAGCGCTTGGCCGTCTGCCCTGCTTTCCCAGGCCCTTAGCAGGGAGCTGGGTCAGAAGGGGAGCAGCCGGGACTGGGACCTCTGCTCCAGGCAGGAGTGCCGTAGGCGCAGCGGGGCCGCGTGCCTCCTGCAGGGAAGTTCTTCAACGGACAAAGCCCTTTGTGACCTGGTGCCTGGCAGTTAAGCGGTCAGAAACCTTGGAAACCCGTTTGTCAGGGTCAGTACAAGAAAACGTCGAGCCCTAGTTACAGCTGCTGCCTGTGGTCGCTGTGACCCAGTGCCGAGTACTTCCCTGTCCAGGCTGCTCACTGCCCGCGCTGCAGTCCACCTTCCCAGACCGCGAGTGTCATGAGGTCCACGCCGTGTCGCATACCAGCAGGTTGACTCGTTGTGGCTTTTTTTTTTTTTAGAGACTTATTTATTTGTTTGAAAGTCAGAGTTACACAGAGAGAGAAGGAGAAGCAGAGAGAGAGGAAGGGAGGGAGGGAGGGAGAGAGAGAGGTCTTCCATGCACTGGTTCACTCCCCAATTGGCCGCAACAGCCAGAGCTGATCCGAAGCCGGGAGCCAGGAGCCTCTTCCTGGTCTCCCACGCGGGTGCAAGGGCCCAAGGACTTGGGCCGTCTTCTACTGCTTTCCCAGGCCACAGCAGAGAGCTGGATCGGACGTGGAGCAGCCAGAACTAGAACTGGCACCTATATGGGATGCCGGCACTGCAGGCAGCGGCTTTACCTGCTATGCAACAGCACCAGCCCCTGCTCATTTTTTTTTGTGTGTGTGTGTGTGTGTGTTTAAGATTTTTATTTATTTGAAAGTCAGAGTTATACAGAGAGAAGGAGAGGCAGAGAGAGAGAGGTCTTCCATCCGCTGGTTCACTCCCCACTTGGCCACTACGGCCAGGGCTGCACCAATCTGAAGCAAGGAGCCAGGAGCTTCTTCTGGGTCTCCCACACAGGTGCAGGAGCCCAAGGACTTGGGCCATCTTTACTGCTTTCCCAGGCCATAGCAGAGAGCTGGATCAGAAGTGGAGCAGCTGGGACTCAAACTGGTGCCCATATGAGATGCCGGCACTGCAGGTGGCGGCTTTACCCGCTATGCCACAGTGCCTGCCCCTCATTGTGTCTTACATGCGCCTTATGAGCTTCATCTTTTTAAAGAATCATATATGGCTCTCATTCTGTTCTGCTGTAATTTTCCTGCATCCTGTAGAGCTAAACTTGGTTCCCAAGCCCTCTGTGAAGACTAGTTTGCTCACACCTGCCTCCCTTGGCTGTCCTGTCCTGTGGACTCCTGTAGCGTTTGCCATCTTTACAAGTCGCCGCCACGTGGGGCTGTCCTGCGCTTCTCTGGCGTGAGCGAGTGCCTCCTGTGCCCTTCACGTCCTGTGCAGCGTTATCGGCAGGCAGGAGCTTGCGTTAGTTCCGTCTTCTTTCACGTTCACCCCGTTTTAGTGCAGAAGAGTGCTGGTGACTTAGGGGGTCGCGAAATACACACAAGGCCCTAGCCACAGGGAGTCCACGGAGAGCACTTCTATCCGGAGTTAGGAGTGACTCCCACACAGTTGACCTTGCTGAACAGAGCCGAGGGCATGGGGCAAGTCCACGTGAGCGGGAAGCTGTACGAAGGGCGGCAGGAGTCCATTTGTTTGGCAGATACTTAATAAAAGTACACGTGTGCCGTGCACAGTGGTGAGTGCGTGGCGTCGTCTTAGTTCTCATGGAGCGTACAGCTTTGTGGGGGATGCAGAAAGCAAATAGCAAGTGTACTATAGTGTGGTACGTTGCACAGCGGTTGGGAATCCAGGAGAGACAGATAGGCGCACAGTGGACTCTACGTGATGTGCTGGGCTGGAGGAGACGCACAGGGTGCTTGGAAGCTGGGAGCTGGGAGCAGCTAGGCTGAGATCAGAGGGAGGCGGTGGAGCTGGACGGTGAGGACGATGGGGCAGTGGGACAGTAGGGAGATGTGTCCGGGGCAGAGGGCGCACAGCACCCTGGACGTTTGCTGGGGCCTGGAGACGGTGTCAAGGAGACGAGAGGCTCCGCGGGGTCCGATCACACCGACTTTGTGGCCGTTTTGTTGTACCAGGCCTGGTTCAAATGCATCATCTGTGATAGCTCAATCCTGCACTTTCAGCTTTGGATTTTACTCTGGATTTAATTTATAATCCTGTCTTCTTTCCTTATTTTCTTTCCTTATTTTGTCGTTAGTGTAAGAATTGTTGATCATTTTACAAAAATGGGATGAAGTATTATTTTTCTTCCTCCCCCACGAGCAAACCGCATGCAACAGAAGCATCTTGTGTGTGTTAGGGATTGCCTCTGTGGCTACAACAGCAGGTTTCCCAGGGGCTCCTAGGGTGAAGCTGTGTGTCCAGTGGAGGCCTCCGGGGGCGCTGTGTCACGGTGTCTGCTGCATCCTTCAAGGACTGCGGGTGCAGTGGGCGGGAGAGGGGTCCTGGTGGGCTGTTCTGGAAGAGATCAAGGGCAAGCCTTCCGGAGCGGTTGTGACAGGTCTCCGGAGTCCCAGCCTGAGCTTGCTGACGTGCGTTGTGTTGTTTCAAGCTTGCCTATAGTGGGTGATCGTGTTTTATCTCTTCCTTTTTAGAAAGAAATCCAGGCTATGAGTCAGTGCCATCATCCCAATATCGTGTCTTACTACACATCGTTTGTGGTCAAAGACGAGCTGTGGCTGGTCATGAAGCTGCTGAGTGGAGGTGAGTAGCCCCGGCAGAGTGACGTGTTTTCCCACCTGGTGAGAGGTGGGGCTGTCCCGAGACTGAGAACAGAGGGCCTGCTGAAGACGTCAGTGCGTGGGCTGACAGGTTCCCTACGCTGTGGTCTGCCTGACGTGCCCCTGAAATCTCCCTAAGTCAGGAAGGCTCCCTCTCCTTCCTCTGTGATGTGACCTCAGTGAGGACCTGGTCCCGCTGCCTCGCAGGGCATTCCACGTTCTGCATTAGCTGAGAGTTCCTTCCTCGTGGTTTAGTCTGCTTGGACTTCTGTGTCTGCACCTTGAGTGTCAGCTCTAGAGGCGTGGTGGAACTTGGGCAGTAGTTTGGGGCCGAATACTTCACAGGTGGTGCTGTGCTCTTCATAGTCCATCAGGTCGGGAAGTGTTCGCTTGCGTCTTCAGTAGCACGGCTCGTTTTGTTTGCCTAAGATGGTGGCAGCCAGGCTCTCCCTGTGAGAAGTCGGCTTCCGCTTTTGTAGGTAGCAGAAAGAAGCCTGTAATACTCTGGCTCTGTGGGTGCCACACTCCCCATAAGTCTTCTGTTTGAATTGGCTATTTCATTATTTCATCGGGGGTGTGGAAAGGTGGTTTTCCTTACTGCATTGTTTCTTGTGTACTTCTTTTTTTTTTTTTTTTAAAGATTTATTTATTTGAAAGAGTTACACAGAGAGAGGAGAGGCAGAGGGAGAGAGAGAGGTCTTCCATCTTATGGTTCACTCCCCAGTTGGCCACAACTGCCTGAGCTGCACCAATCCAAAGCCAGGAGCTTTTTCCGGGTCTCCTGCGCGGGTGCAGAGGCCCAAGCACCTGGGCCATTTTCTGCTTTCCCAGGCCATAGCAGAGAGCTGGATCGGAAGAGGAGCAGCCGGGACTAGAACCGGCGCCCATATGGGATGCCGGCGCTTTAGGCCAGGGCATTAACCCGCTGCGCCACAGCGCCAACCCCCTCTTGTGTACTTCTAACCTGGCATCCTCTGTGAAGAGGAGCTTTGTCTTATCTACTGGGGCTCTTTGATTAATTGGTGCAGTAGTTCCTGCAGAAAAGGAGGGATAAAAAAATGGATTCTTGGGGCTGGCATTGTGGGATAGAGGGTAAAGCCACTGCCTGCGACACTGGCAATGAATGTGGGTGTCAGTTCATGTCCTGGCTGCTCCACTTCTGATCCAGCTCCCTGTTAATGGACTGGAAAAGCAGCAGAAGATGGTCCAAGTCCTTGGGCTCCTGTCACCAATGTAGGAAACCTGGATGAAGCTCCTGGCTCCTAGCGTCAGCCTAGCCAAGCCCTGGCCCATGCAGCTGTCTGGGGAGTGAACCACTGGATGGAAGATCGATATCTCTCTGTCTCTCCCTCTCTCTCCGTAACGCTTTCAAATAAATAAATAAATAAATCTTTTTTAAAGAAAGTATTCTTTTTTTAATAACTGATTTTCTTATGAAAAGTTGATAGAATAGTCACCTCCATTGGTAGCAGATGAGAGGTTTTTAATTTTTCCAGTTGGTCAGGATCTTCACTGTTTTGAGTATCATTATAGACTCTAGCATTTTTAAAAAATTTTTAAATTATTTTTTAAAGATTTACGTATTTACTTATTTATTTATTTGAAAGGCAGAGTTACAGAGACGCTGAGACAGAGAGAGAGGTCTTCCATCCACTGGTTCACTCCCCAGATGGCCAAAACAGCTAGAGCTGTGCCAATCCAAAGCCAGGAGCCAGGAGCTTCCTCCGGGTCTCCCATGTGGGTGCAGGGGCCCAAAGGTTTGGGCTATCTTCCACTGCTTTCCCAGGCCACAGCAGAGAGCTGGATGGGAAGTGCAGCAGCCAGGATTCGAACCAGCACCCATATGGGATGCAGGCACTGCAGGTGGCAGTTTTACCTGCTATGGCATAGCGCTGCTCCCTGGTTCATTTTTCGAAGCTCTCGGCAGCCAGGGCTGCGCCAGGCCGAAGCCTGGAGCTCAGTCGGGGTCTCCCACGTGGGTGACAGGGACTTAAATGCTTCAGCCACCTGCTGCCGGCCGTGATGTGCCTAGCAGGAGCTGGTCGGAGTCGGAAGAGCTGGGGCTCGGTCCGGGCGCTCTGGTGGGCGAGGCAGGCGTCCTCGATGGTGACTTAGCCACTGTGCTGCACACACAGCCTCGCTTCTCTCTGGTGTTTGAGTTTGCAGGCTTCTCAGCGGGAGTTGTCTCTTGCTTACTCTTTTTGATATGAGCCAGTAGGTTTTTGATTGTGTCTCGCTTTTTGGTTCAAGATTTTCTAGGTCCACATAATCCTTTTCCCGGACCTGGAATCACCAGAATCGTAGGAGCTGAGAGAGCTGTTACTGGGGAATGGTATTCAGAGTATAATGACAGTGCTTGGGGTATGCATTGCTACTATGGAGTAACTGCCTCTAGCTGGGACATACTCTGTTGAAAATGAGTCATAATTTCGTGTTAATATTTCCAATTCAACTTTAATATTATAGACTTTTTAAGCTTCTTCTGATCTTATGCTTGAATCTCTTTTCCTAGTTTTACCGTTATTACAAGCTTTGTACTGTAAAATGTATGCATTTACTTCTGCTTTATCCTTGAGTAGATTTAAATACAGGCGGAGTGTCCCGTATCTGGTGCTTTGGGCTAGGAGTGATCCGGATGGCAGAGCTGTTCGGGTTTTGGAGTACTCACGTGGACTTTACTTACTGAGCAGTCCTGGTCAGAATCTGAAATCCGAGAGCGAGACCCAAAGCTTCTAAATGTCACGTTGGTGCTGGGAAGCGTTCTGGATCGCGGAGCAGGTGAGGGGTGCTCAGCCGGTATTGCCGGTGCAAGGAGTGTGCAGACGGACGCGTGGATTGGACACGCGGTTATGGTGCCTGAAGCTCATGCTGTGTGGTCACTTTGTCAGTGTACCAAGGCCTGGGTTTGAATCACAGGGCGAGACTGGGGACCCTGTCACTCCACTCCTTTCATTGTTTGCGTATGTATTCTCTGTAGAGTCACAGGAAAGAGAACCCATGTTTGCTTGGTTTGCAGTTTTCATGCTGCTTGTCCCTGGAACCTTGCTTCTCAGAGACTGTGAAAGAAACAATGTGCGCCTTGTATTAAAATCCAGCTTTCCTGTTTCAGTTTTGTTTTATGGGAGAACTGTGTCAACCTTTGTCCTTTTTACTTGTCTGTGGTATCTTTCTGCCTCTCGGGGTGCTGAGGAGGAGTGAATGACGTGACATACATGGAGAGCATCCATCGCTGGCTGACCTGTGACAGACGCACGGAGATCGTAGGCACTGTCATCATAACCCCTTGCTGTGTGATGCTCTTCCGTGTAGCCAGAGTCACCGCTTTGTTTCAGTCCCTTCAGGGACGCGCTGGAGAAACTGGGTTGCTTTGTAAAGGCCCTGTGCGTGTGATGGTTGGACGTTGCTAACACCAGCCACTTTCAGGATGGTGGTCAAGTGTGGGTCTTTCAGTGTGGACAGATTCGGGAGCATTAGGCAATTCTGTGTCTTTCCTTATTGATCACCGAGAGCTTAATTTTGTTTTTAATTCACAAAGATGCATGGTGTAAGGTTTTCAGGGTGGGGAAATGAGAATGCATTGTTGGCTGTGTTCTGTGTTAGCCAGTCCTTTCTTCTGCTGCTCCTAAGCAGAATCCCCCCCACCCCACGCACCCTGAACCCAGAAGAGCAGGACGTGCGGCCTGGGGGGGGGAGGGGTCCTGCAGATGCAGCTCTTGGCCTCACTGTCTGGGGCAGTGCTCAGTTTTTCTAGCCTAGCACTCAGTGAATTTCCTGGAGGGCAATTTCGAACGTGTTGTAGTCATAATTCTTTATAGAATTATATTTTAGGAGTTAACATAATCATTACATATAAGCCTTTTAGATGTTAAAATTTTTTCACTCTTTAGGAAAATGAAATCTCGTGGTTTTTTTTTTTTTTTTTTTTTTTTTTTTTTTTTTTTTTTTTAAGATTTATTTATTTGAGAGGCAGAATTAGAGAGGGAGAGGCAGAGAGAACGGTCTTCCTCCTCTGGTTCACTCCCCAAATGGCCGCAATGACTGGAGCTGGATGGATCCGAAGCCAGGAGCCAGGAGCTTCTTCCTGGTCTCCCATGCGGGTGCAGGGCCCCAAGCACACAGGTGGTCCTCTGCTGCTTTCCCAGGCCGTTAGCATAGAGCCGGGTCAGAAGTGGAGCAGCCAGGACCCAAAGTGGCACCCAGGTGGGATGTCACAGCACCAGTCCCCAAATCTTGATTTTGTTGCTATGAAGTGAATAAACATTTAAATTGAAGAATTTAAGTAATATTTAGAAAACAAAAGGTAGAAGTGATCAGCTTACACATTTTTGTTTTGAAATAGGAAGAAACTGTCAGAATTTATAGTACAGTTAAAATGCCAGTCAAGTATGTACTCACTTAACATCAGCACGTTAGTGAGTGGAACTGTCGGCTCCTTCGCTCGTGGCCTTATGACTAATAAAGAAAAGTTGTAATTAAGTGGAAGTGTGGAGTGCCGTGAGAGCCAGTCCTTGGGGACCCTGAACCTCTCGAGAGAGGGAGATGTACCATTAACCAAGGCCCCTCCCTTCTGGAGGTGCCAGCCGGCTGAGACGTAAGACTGAGCTGACAGCCAGCCGGGTGAAGTGGGAGTGGAAGGATGGGAGAGTGATCCAGCTGGGGGGACTGGTGGCAGAGGAAGGTGTGTCATGTGGGCCAGAACCGAGGGAGGTTTGTGGCGGGAGCAGAGAAGCAGAAAAAGACCTTTGGAGGAGGCTCACGGGAAAGCAGAGACTCCCTTTGAGTAACTTTGAAATGTCAATGACCAGAGGTAACAGAAATGCATGTAGGATGCATTCTTTTTTTTTTTTTTTTAAGATTTATTTATTTATTTGAAAGTGAGAGTTACTGAGAGGGGTGGGTAGGTCTTCCATCTGCTGGTTCACTCCCCAGATGGCCGCAATGACTGGAGCTGGGCTGATCCGAAGCCAGGAGCCAGGAGCTTCTCTGGGTCTCCCACGTGGGTGCAGGGGCCCAAGGACTTGGGCCATCTTCTTCTGCTTTCCCAGGCCACAGCAGAGAGCTGGATCGGAAGTGGAGCAGCCGGGACTTGAACTGGTGCCCTTATGGGATGCTGGTGTCGCAGAAGGAGCCTTTACCTATTATGCCATGGTGCCTCCCCGGTAACTGTCACTCTTAAACCTGTCAACCACAGAGATAGCAGAGTTAAGTCAGTTTAAGTATGTATAATTTCACAGGACTTTCTTATGACTGACATGTCCTTTTTTTAAAGGTCTGTTTATGTATTGCAATGCAGAGTTACAGACAGAGAAAGGGAAAGACTTCTTGCAGGTCTCCCCCGTGGCAGCGGGGACTCAAGCACTTGGGCCGTGCTCTTCAGCTTCCCCAGGTGCATTAGCAGGGAGCTGGGTCAGAAGTGGAGCAGGGGCTGGCGCCTTGGCCCAGCGGGTTAACGCCCTGGCCTGCAGTGCCGGCATCCCTTATAGGCGCTGATTCGAGACCCGGCCACTCCACTTCTGATCCAGCTCTCTGCTGTGGGAAAGCAGTAGAAGATGGTCAAGTCCTTGGGCCCCTGCACCCACATGGGAGACTGGGAAGAAGCTCCTGGCTTTGGATTGGCGAAGCTCCGGCTGTTGCGGCCAATTGAGGAGTGAACCAGCAGATGGAAGATCGATCTCTCTCTCTCTCTCTCTCTCTCTCTCTGCCTCTCCTCTCTGTGTAACTCTGACTTTCAAATACATTATTTGAGACCCAGCAGCCGGGTCTCACACCGGCGCCCACATGGGATGCTGGCATCACAGGCAGACGCTTTGCCCGCTGTGCCGCAGTGCAGGCCCCTGAAACCTTCTTTAACTAATTAAAACCCAGATGTTGAATGTTGGGATTTATCAGCACAGGAAGTTAATCTTCAGAAGTGAGAAATGCTTTTGGTCTAAAGAGCTATTTCTACAATTTGGTAGCACCAGACTATGGTGTACAGTATTTAGAACTACAACTCATTAGGCAAACTTCTGAGAGGAAAAGAGAAGCGCTGTGGCACTGAAAGGGGTAGCGTGTAGACACAGACCTCCAGCTTCAGTCCGCTGCCTCAGACAGCGGGGGTGCCTTGGCCTTGTCTCTGCTGAGTGACAAAAGCAGGCCCGGTGAATTACCAGATGTCGTGACCAGTGTGCTTCTCAAACACCAGCAACCCTTCAGGGCTTGTAGACTTCCGCTGCTGCAGTTCTCAGCTGGGAGCTCCGAGCCAGGGCCGGCCAAACCATCAGCGGCTCAGGAGGCTAGAGCTGGGTGAAAGCTGCTTAGACAGCGTGACTGCTGGGACGCGATGATTCTGTGTTCAACGAAAGCTGAGGAAGTTAGCATGCTGGCCGTGCAGCCGGTGGCGTTAGAACTGCCGGCTTTAGTGCGTGTCTCGAGCCAGCTCCGCCAGAATTCTTGGTACTCAGGAGTGGTTTTCTTGGACAGAGTTTTGCGTTGCTTGTAAGTGTTGTGTGTCACAGACTAGGAAGGCACACGGGCAATCATTTTGAGGAATAGAAGGATCTACATTTTAGCTTTTTGCTTTGTTAGAAAATTTGTACCAAATACCCTTGTTTCCCATTCACTGTTTGACTTGCTTTTATTCTGAGATGTGTGGACTTTTTTTTTTTTTTTTAAGATTTCTTTATCTATTTGAAAGTTATAATTACATAGAGAAAGGGAGAGACAGAGACAGAGATATTCCATCTGCTGGTTCACTCCCCAGATGGCTGCAACAGCCGGGGCTGGGCCAGCCTGAAGCCAGGAGCTTCTTCTAGGTTTCCCAACGTGGATGGCAGGGGCCCAAATTCTTGGGCCATCTTCCTCTGCTTTCCCCAGGCCATTAGCAGGGAGCTGGATCAGAAGTGAAGCAGCTCGGCCGGCGCCGCGGCTCACTAGGCTAATCCTCCGCCTTGCGGCGCTGGCACACCGGGTTCTAGTCCAGGTCGGGGCGCCGGATTCTGTCCCGGTTGCCCCTCTTCCAGTCCAGCTCTCTGCTGTGGCCAGGGAGTGCAGTGGAGGATGGCCCAAGTGCTTGGGCCCTGCACCCCATGGGAGACCAGGAAAAGCACCTGGCTCCTGGCTCCTACCATCGGATCAGCGCGGTGCGCTGCCACAGCGCGCTGGCCGCGGCGGCCATCGGAGGGTGAACCAACGGCAAAGGAAGACCTTTCTCTCTGTCTCTTTCTCTCACTGTCCACTCTGCCTGTCAAAAAAAAAAAAAAAAAAAAGAAGAAGAAGAAGTGGAGCAGCTGGGACATGAACCAGCGTCTTTATGGGGTGCTGGTGTTGCAGGCAGCGGCTTAATCTACTACACCACAGTGCCGGTCCCATGTACACTGCTTTCAGTTCTCTGTTGACCACTGGATGATGTAAAATCCATGAAGATTGTCTAAATTTTTGAAAAGGAGCTCTGATTTCAAGCTTTAAAAGTGTAGAGCCAATATGAGATCTTTTTGCTCTGTTGGTCTGCTGTGCCAGCCTGGAAGTTCCCTGAAAGTCAGCCATACTGCACAGCTTGTCATTCTCTTGGCACCCAGTGCTGGGACTTACTAGATGGATGAATTGCGTTAATTTTAAATTCCCAGCAGGAGTTTCTCCCTTTAGATACATTTTTAAAAGTAATTTTATTTTTATTTGTCAGCGTGAATAGTTTGTAACCATTACTTTTTTTTTTTTCTTTATTTGACAGGTAGAGTTACAGACAGTCAGAGAGACAGAGAGAGAGAAAGGTCTTCCTCCTGTTGGTGCACCTCCAAATGGCTGCTACTGCCTGCGCACTGCGCTGATCCGATGGCAGGAGCCAGGTGCTTCTCCTGGTCTCCCATGGGGTGCAGGGCCCAAGCACTTGGGCCATCCTCCACTGCACTCCCTGGCCACAGCAGAGAGCTGGCCTGGAAGAGGAGTAACTGGGACTAGAACCTGGCACCCATATGGGATGCTGGTGCCTCAGGCGGAGGATTAACCAAGTGAGCCACGGCACCGGCCCCTACATACATTTTTTAAAAAGTATTTATTTTATTTGGAAGAGCTACAGAGAAGGGGAGACAGAGACGGAGGTGGAGACGGGGAGAGAGAGAGAGAGTGTGAGTCTTCCATCTGCTGGTTCACTCCCTAAATGGCCATAACGGCCAAGGGTAGGCAGGCTCAAACCAGGAGTCAGGAACTTCTTCTGAGTCTCCCATGTGGGTGCAGGGGCCATCTTCCTCTGCTTTCCCAGGCACATTAGTAGGGAGCTGGATCAGACATGGAGCAGCCGGGTCTCTAACTGGCACCCAGATGGGATGTCAGCGTCCCACCTGCAGCTAACCCGCTGTGCCACAGCGCTGGCCATCCTCTACTGGCGCTCCCTGGCCACAGCAGAGAGCTGACCTGGAAGAGGGGCAACCAGGACAGAATCCGGCACCCCGACCGGGACTAGAACCTGGGGTGCTGGCGCCGCAGGCGGAGGATTAGCCTAGTGAGCTGTGGTGCCAGCCCTAGTCTTTGCTTTTATCATCAGTGTTGGTATCTGCGTCCTGTGATATTAGTCACTGTGCAGATGTCCCCAGCCCCTCCCCCTTCTGTGGGAGGAGCAGGAATGGACTTCATACGTAGACCTGGGCTGTTACTTCAAGAGAAGTGCCATTTATCCTCTTCATACCCGTGTTTCGCCTCACCTGTTCTGGTTTTGCAGTTGATCAGAATAATTTTAGCCCTTGAGTTAGCTTATCGTGTACGATCTTTACTTCTCGAGTGTTTCTTCTCTGGGTGTGATGCTGTGCCCTGCGTTCCTGCACGGTAGGGGGCCGGCGCTGGCTTGTGGAATCTGACACTGGAGTGTTACTGGTGAGTGTGCCCTAACTAGGTGTTCTCTGGGAGCGTGTGCCCTAACTAGGTGTTCTCTGGGAGCGTGTGCCCTAACTAGGTGTTCTCTGGGAGCGTGTGCCCTAACTAGGTGTTCTCTGGGAGCGTGTGCCCTAACTAGGTGTTCTCTGGGAGCGTGTGCCCTAACTAGGTGTTCTCTGGGAGCGTGTGCCCTAACTAGGTGTTCTCTGGGAGCGTGTGCCCTAACTAGGTGTTCTCTGGGAGGTGTGCCCTAACTAGGTGTTCTCTGGGAGCGTGTGCCCTAACTAGGTGTTCTCTGGGAGCGTGTGCCCTAACTAGGTGTTCTCTGGGAGTGGTACGAATCCCACCCTTCTGAAAGTCTTGCTAGAGGTCGTGCTGGTGTAACATGTTATTTGGATATTAGCGAGCTCCTTGCTGTTCCAGATTAGAACTGAGAATAGCTCACTAGTTTTAAACTGCTGTATTTTCTCCTGTTTGCTGTTTTCCCCTTTATTTTCTACACAGTTCGTTTGTGAAGTGGTCCACATACGTTTTGCTTGCAGGTGGATCTGAATTAACGTGGACTGCGTTCCTGTGTCTTGTGTTTGCAGGTTCTGTTCTGGATATCATCAAGCATATTGTGGCAAAGGGCGAGCACAAGAGTGGTGTCCTGGACGAGCCCACCATTGCTACAATACTCCGAGAGGTCCTGGAAGGGCTGGAGTATCTGCACAAGAATGGACAGATCCATCGGTACGTGGTGGGTGTGCTAGGCCGCCTCAGCAGACGCTCCCTCTCTGCGCGGCAGCAGTCCCGTGGCCTGAGCGTTTTTGTGGCTGTTTGTACCGCCAATCTCAGTGCACTGTGTCCAGAGTGTTAGTTGTGCAGCTAGTAAGTAGTGGACATGTTTCTGTAATTCGTAAACGTGGTGATTGGGGTTTTGTGCTGTTGTGTGTTGTGCCTCCCTCAGACGTTAACGATATCAGCACATTACCCGTTTTGAAAAAAAGAAAAAATAACAAGTGAGTTAGTAAAATCGGAAAATCCATAAACAGAAAAAATTCATAGTTTCTTATTATATGTTATTTTTTTAAAAGATTTATTTATTTGAAAGAGTTACAGAGAGAGAGAGAGGTCTTCCATCTGCCAGTTCACTCCCTAAATGGCCACAGTGGCTTGAGCTGAGCTGATCTGAAGCCAGGAGCTTCTTCCAGGTCTCTCACACGGTGCAGGGCCCAAGGACCTGGGCCATCTTCCACTGCTTTCCCACTCTATAGCAAAGAGCTGAATCGGAAGAGGAGCAGCTGGGACTTGAACCGGTGCCCAAAGAATGCCAAGGCTTTAACCTGCTTCGCCACAGCACTGGCCCCAAATTCATAGTTTCTTATCATGAGGTCATCACTGATAACGTTTTGGAATATTTCTTTCTGTTTTCTTTCATGTACTTGATATTTAAAACAATGCTATATATGTGATTTTCTCTGTTGCTTTTTTTTTTTTTTTTTAAGATTTATTTATTTATTTGAAAGGCAGAGCTACATAGAGGCAGAGGCAGAGAGGCAGAGAGGCAGAGAGAGAGAGAGAGAGAGAGAGAGAGAGAGAGAGAGAGAGAGAGAGAGAGAGAGAGGTCTTCCATCTGCTGGTTCACTCCCCAAATGGCCATAATGGCCAGAGCTAGGCAGATCTGAAGCTTGGAGCCAGGAGCCTTTCCTGGGTCTCTCCTGCGGGTGCAGGGGCCCAAACACTTGGGACATCTTCCCCTGCCCTCCCAGACCACAGCAGAGAGCCGGACCGGAAGTGGAGCAGCCGGGCCTCAAACTGGCACCCACGTGGGACACTGGCCCCCCTGGCGGCTTCACCTGCCAAGCCACAGTGCCAGGCCCCGCTTTACTTATTTACATTGTATCTTCAGTAGTTTGCTAGATTACTGAAAGCTCTTTGGGAGTTGGCATTGTGGTACAGTGGGTTAAAGCCCTGGCCTGCAGCACCAGCATCCCATATGGGTGCCGGTTCGAGTCCTGGCTCCTCCACTTCAGATTCAGCTCCCTGCTCGTGTACCTGGGAAGGCAGTGGATTATGGCACAGGTGCTTGGGCCCCTGCACCCACATGGGAGACCAGGAGGAAGCACCTGGCTCCTAGTTTCAGATCTCAGCTCTACGCATTGCAGCCATTCACGGAGTGGACCAGCAGATGGAAGACCTCTTTCTCCCTGTCGCTACCTCTCTCTGTAACTCTGCCTTTCAAATAAATAAATCTTAAAAAAAAAAACAAAAGCTCTTTGTAAAATAGCATTTGTTAAAGCTCTTTTTTTGTTTTAAATAAATACTGTAGCATTTTTAAAAAACAGATATATTTATTTATTTGAAAGTCAGAGAGAGAGAGAGGGAGAGACAGAGAGGTCTTCAGTCCACTGGCTGACTTCCCAGATTGCCACCACAGCCAGGGCTGGGCCAGGAAGGCGGCAGGGGCCCATCACGTGGGCCATTTTATGCTGCTTTTGCCCGGCTCTTGCCGGGGAGCTGGATGAACAGCCAGGACTCCAGCCGTGCCCAGATGGGATGCCAGCATGGCAGACGGTGGTTTTACCTGCTGCACCACAGTGACGGCCCCTAGTGTAGCACTGTAAGAGCTTTTTAACATTTTGTAGTTCAGGTCTTTCTGGCTGTCTTTATTCAGTGCAGATGGCAAGAATTCAGGTAGTAATGGGTTCTGTGTTATCCAAAAGTATTTAGCACCTAGACTTGGTTTATTTGGGAATATTTTTTGCTTTCATTTCTAAATTTTTACTAGATATAAAAATTCACTGTTGAAAGTGTATTTTTTAAAGATTTATTTTATTTGAAAGGCAGAGTTAGGATGAGACAGTTTATTCCCCAAATGACTATGGCCGGGGCAGGGCCAAGCTGAAGCCAGGAGCCTGGACCTCCATCCGGGTCTCTCACGTGTGTGCAGGGGCCCAAGCACTTGGACCATCCTCTGCTGCTTTCCCAGGCACATTAGCAGTGAGCTGGATAGGAAATGGAGCAGCTGGGATTCTCCATATAGGATGCCGGAATGCAGGTGGTGCCTTTACTTGTTATGCCACAGCACTGGCCCCAATTTTTCTTTTTCTTTTTAAAAAAGATGTACTTATTTATTTGAAAGACAGTTACTGAGAAAGAGAGAGAGAGATCTTCTCTTCGCTCTTTTTACTCCCCAAATGGCTGCAACGGCCAGGGCTGGGCCAGGCCAAAGCCAGGCGCCTGGAACTCCATCCGGATTTCCATGTGGGTGGCAGGGGCGGCAAGCACTTGGGCCATCTGTCATCCACTGCTTTCCCAGGCACGTTAACAGGGAGCTGGATCGGAAGTGGAGCAGCCAGGACTAGAACCGGTGCTCATATGGGATGCCGGCGCTGCAGCTGCTTAACCCACCGTGCCACAGTGCTGCCCCTCCTCTTATTTTTTTTATAGATTTATTTATTTCTTTGAAAAGCAGAGTGATAGAGGAGGGGGAGGCGGGGAGAAATGTCTCTTCCATCCACTGGTTCATTCCCCAGGTGGCTGCAACAACCAGGGCTGGCCCAGGCCCAAGCCAGAGCCTGGAACTCCATCCAGCTCCTCCACGTGGGTGGTGGGGGCCCTGATGCTTGCTGTCTCCCGTTTTCCCGGGTGCGTTGTTGGGGAGCTGGGTGTGAAGTGGAGCAGCGAGGGGGCTTGAACTGGACTGATACGGGAGGCCAGCCAGGTGGTTCCAACGCTGGGTGCATCCTGTATTGGTGTCAGTTAATTCACTGTAGCTTGTATGTCTTGAATATTGTGTTAGTAGACTATACCCTGTTTAAGTTTTGTGTGTGGGTTCTGGCGTACCTCTGTGGGCTATGCTTCCAACTGCAATTTGGGTTTTGGAGTCCTGGCTGTATTGTTTTTATTTTTTGCATGGTACTGCTGGGACTGCCGTCCGGTTCCTGCGGATGCCACCTGTGAGAGTGGAGTGTACTTCTGTGGGCCTGATGCTGCTGAGAGCGGGTGGGAGGTGGGTCCGTAAGTGCTCCCCAGGGGTCTGGGAGAGGCCAGCTGTGCTCCTGGTGTGGCCGCGTGGATCTGCCTGCTGCACTGAGCGGGGGCAGAGGATGAAGTTCCCCAGTCTGCTCTCATCGCCGCCACTGTTCTGGGTTGGGGCCCACCTGCGTCTCCAAGTGTGGAGTTGGGAGCGGTGCCCCCTGCTGGCACTCTGCACGTCTGCCAGAGAGCTGGCTTAGTGTTGCTTTTTTGAGCAAATTCTTGCTTTTGAGTTTGAAGTTGGTTTCCTTGGGGACTCCCTGTGTCTGGGTGGCTTGGTAGTCAGCCAGGGCGCGGCAGAGGTGGTGACCACACAGCGGGAGCCTGCAAGGCTCTGTGTGCATCAGTGGATCTGTCTGTGGGTGTAGACGTTGCGTGTTTTCAGGCTCTGCTCCCGTCTCGCTTGTGGCTTTCTGTGTTTGCTGTGCCCATTCTGCATCCTCCGGTGCTGGGGTGGAAACTGCACGCCCTCCTGTGCCGGCCGTGTGTCTGCGTCTGGACTGCAGCCACAGTCTCGCAGAGCCGCTGCCGGCCCTCCTGCGGCCGCCCTTGAGAGTCACGGCCGCTGACCGTCGCTGGGCTCAGCTGCTGCCCACCAGTCTCATCTCGTGGGCCCCTGCTGCCTGGCAGAAAAGCCGCCAGCCACGCTGGTCTCTGCACCTAGCGGAGCCTGCGCGCACCCTGGGCGGGCTGAGCTGGCACAGAGGCTGCTGCTCTTAGCTGGTGGGCAGCAGCGGTTCGGGCACGACGTCCGCAGGTTGGTTTCCAGGTCACTGCAGTGGCAGATTCATCGGGCGTGTCCAGCTTCTACGTTGCTTTTAAGGGGGGGCAGATCTGCCTCACTCAGCTGTAGCTGAGAGAGAGAGAGAGAGAGGGAGGTCTTCCATCCCCTGATTCACTCCCCATATGGCTGCAATGGCCAGACTGGACCAACACAAAGCCAGGAGCCAGGAGGTTTCTCTGGGTCTCCCAGAAGTGGAGCAGCCGGGATTCAACTGGTGCCCATATGGGATGCAGGTGGTGCGGTGGCTTCACCCGCTACGCCATAGCCCTGCCCCTACATTTTGTATTATTAAATTCCAAATAAGAACTCAGCTTACATATCGCTGTTACTAATTTCACTTGCAGGTGAAGATGATGTGCCCTTAGGTTAAGATTCGCGTGGGCTCACAGAATGGTTGTGAAGAGATTGTGATGGCTTGTGCAGCTGGCTCTGAGGCCGTTGGAGTGGGGGTTTCAAAGGTGGTTTTTGCAATGACATCGACTCAAGCTAATGCTTTCTGAGTGACAGCCCCTCGGGTAACTTTGAAAGGAATGACACTCATTTAGCTAAATGGTCTATTTTATAGAGCTAGTGTGAGCAGCCGTACAAAGCGTCTGAACTTTTTTGTGCCTGAATTTTGCAGGAATCACTGAACTCCTCGTGCTCCTTGTTTGTGTGACCCGGGTGTCTGACAGCTGTCGTTTCCTCTGTGTCTTTTAACACTTCTTGCAGCAGGTGTACTGACTACAGAGTTCCTTAATTTGTTGTCTGAAAAAGTCTTCATTTCAAGATGTATTTGTTTATTTATTTGAAAGTCATAGTTAGAGCGAGCGAGTGAGCTGCTTCCCTCCCCAGATGGCCACAGTAGTTGGGGCTGGCCAGGCCAGAGCCAGGGGTCTGGACCTTCATCCAGGTCTCCCAGTACTTGGGCCGTCATCTGCTGTTTTCC